AGAATTTGTATTTCCTGGATTTTGGATCCAGTTTTGAAATTTCTTGGGAGTTGTACATCACGTACACAATACTTTCAAATACATGGAGGTTTGAATAATCAACTGGTTTACCAGTCCACATCTCTATTGGTGTCTTAAGCTCTATTGCAATTGATGGAGCTCGATTCACCAAATAACAGGCGATATTGACTTCTTCTACCCAGAATGATTTTTCTAGGCCTGCATCCCTCAACATTGCTCTTGTCATTTCTAACAAGGTTATGTTCATTCGCTCTGCCACTCCATTTTGTTGAGGAGTGTTCACCACTGTGAACTGTCTTTTGATGCCTTGTTTCCTACAAAAGTCATCAAATTCTCCATTTGTGTATTCTCCTCCTTTATCATTTCTGAAACACTTGATCTTATTTCCAAAATCAAGTTCCACCCGCGCTTTGAAGATTTTTAAATTGGAAAACACATCTGACTTCTTAATAGAGTACACCCAACATCTCATGGAGTAATCATCAATAAATGAGACAAAATATTTTAATCCGCCTAGGGATGTAACTGGTGCTTGCCATACGTCAGAGTGAACCAATTCTAGAACATTTTTGCCTCTAGAATTTGATGTGTTGAATTTCAATCGGTGTTGCTTACTTGTTATGCAATGCTCACACAAAGTAAGTGATACCTTTGTTAAGTCTGTAAGTAGCTTTTTCTCCACAAGGACTTTCATTCCTTGTTATGATATGTGTCCAAGTTTTTGATGCCATATCATTGCATAATCTGAACTACATGAGGCAACAGAGGCTTCTGCTTCTAGCAAATTCTCTCACTTCAGCATGTATAAGTTTGTTGTTATCTTTTCGCCTTTTATCACCACAAGCGCTCCACATAACACATTCATGATTCATTTCCGTGTTTCAATCTTGCTTGCATTATTATCCAACAATTTGTAGGATAATAAATTTTTCTTCAGGCCTTTCACGTGTTGCACATCTCAAACAATTTTGATTGTTCCATAATAAATCTTCAATTTGATTGTTCCCACGCCAATGATCTCTAAGGTATTATCATTTGAACTATACACATATCCTCCTCAGATAGGTTTATAATGATGGAACCATTCTCTTCTTGAGGTCATGTGATATGTTGCTCCCGAATCAATGAGCCATATATCTGAAAATCTTTTTCTGGTTTTCATAGTGGTTGACGCTTCACAGCATAGAGCATCTCCATCATCTAAAGTGTTTGCAATATTGCCTTGTGGATTGGAGTTTTTATTTAGACTCTATCAATCATTCTTCAAGTGATCATTCTTTCCACAGTTGTAACACTTTAAATTCTTCTTGCTCATCGAATTCGATCTACCATGTTTTTGATTGCTGCTTTGGTCACGTTCTATTGATCTCCCTCTCATCATTGTCAATGCTTCTGCTTGTTGCAGATTTACTTGTATGTCTTCCTTGTTCTTGCGCTGATTTTCTTCTTGTAGAACAGCAGTTGCAACGTCATCGAAGACTAGACTGGTGACATTATTGTTGTCAAGTTAATGATGAGTTGATCATACGAATCCAATAGACTTTGAAGTATAAGTTCAACATTTTCTTGTTCTCCTATTTTACAGCTTAAGGATGTAAGGTGAGAAAATAAAGTGTTTAATATATTTAAGTGCTCCGTCACTGAAGTAGATTCTGGCATATGGAGAATGTACAATTTTCTCTTAAGGAACATTTTATTGTGCAGCGATGTGGCCTCGTACAGTTTGGTGAGATGATCTCATATCTCATTAGCTGTCTACTTCTCCTCGATGCTTGACAATACTTTATCTGCTAATGTTAGATGAAAGTTTTTCATAGCATTCTTGTATATTTCGATCCATTTGTTGTCATCTGTGAAATCCATCAGCCTTTCACTAATAGCTGCTAGACAACCGTCTTTCCTCATGATGACATTCATCTTCAATTTCTACAATAAGAAATTTCTCCTATTGAACTTTTCAATATCAAATTTCGTTGCCATGGCTTTTAATACAGATAACTCTCATTATTTCACTATCGTTAATAGTTCTCTAGAACCTTCAAAGAATGAATAATACCTTCTTACTTTTTTATGTTGGAGGATCCGCCTTTTGGTGACAATCATAAAGACAATAAGTAGATATTACACACTCTAATCTGGCTCTGATACCAATTGTTACAGAAGATGACTATCGGATAGAGCAAAATCGCAACTAATAATTTGAGAAAATACAAAATGAAGATAAAAGAGACAAAATTTACGTGGAAAACCCCTAAATAATATAGAGTAAAAACCACGGGCAACGGTAGAAGAATTTCACTATAAGAAAATAAGAATTACAATTTCTCTCGATCTATCAAGAAGAAAATAATGATAATTCTCTCTTGATAAAAAAGAGAAAACAACTCACAAAAAACTCTCTAAATTCTCTATTATTGGGAGAAAACTAGAATAATTTGGGATGATTTTGAAGCTAAATGAGTTAGGATATTTATAGTTGAAGCTTAAGAATTAATCTTATAAATACCCTAAAGTACAATGACTAAATTATGATTTTACCATTTCCAAAAAAATCAACAAATGTGATTGATATATTTTATTCAAACTTTCGGTGCATAGTCAACAATCCATTCTATACCAACATATTCATCTCTATAAATTAAAATTTTATTTTCTGTTTTATCTTTATCCTTGCTATAAATATTTCTTTCTGTTCAGGTGCACTTGTAAGTATCCTAATGGCTATGGTTATATATTTCACATGTTTGTTTCTGTTCTGTATTTACTCTATTTTCTCTGCATAGTTTTTCACCGTAATTCTAATTTATTGATCGCATGTAATTTTCTCCCCCATTTTCTCGTGTATGTTGTTCTACTTCTACCTTTTACTTTTGATTTAATTAAGACAATATTTTTAGTAATCTTAACGTTGTTCAAGATGCTAAAATGTGATGTATGTCCGGTTTCTAAGTTTCTTATTAGTGCAAGCTTGAGATCAGTTCTGAGCCGCCAATGCCGTAACTTCCGCAAAGATAAAGGCTGTAAAAATCTTTAAGTTGGGATTTGTTTATATTACTATCATTTGACAGCAGTAATAATATCTTTTCTCTAGGCTTTATTTTCACTGTTTGTTTCTGGTGCCTGAAAAGCTCTGCTACAATCAGCAGAAAACCATACCTCTGACTCTGCCACCTCCAATTGGAGTAAGAACTAAAGTTGCAGTAAAAAAGATAAAAAATGAAAGAGGTATAGTTAAAATGGCAGCAAACAGTTCCAAAAGATGACGGTGATGATGGAGATGGTGGCATGGGACAGACTCAAATCATGACTACCAATTTGTTCGATTGATGAAACAGAACAGAAGAGGCTCGAACATGTGTTTCAACTTGCCGTAATATGCGTTTACAAAAAAAGGTCCAAGTTCTCTGTTTCAGACTCAAATAATCAACAAATTTGTTTTTGAAAAACAGAAATATTCCAAGTCTGTTCTCCCCTTCTTTTTTCTTATATATATATATATATATATAAAGGAAAGTTACAACAGTAATGGAGATTCTTCTGTCAGTATCTTGTATTTGGCGGTTGCTGACGTTTCTCATTGCCTGGTCCCTTCGTACTTGCAGAGAAAAATAATACCCATCTACCTTTTCTTTTTTCACTCTGGTTAAAATTCAGAAAGTTTCAAAGTAAAATGTCGATTTACCTGATTTGAGTAAAAAAAAACAAAGGATTTCAACTAGAGGATACCTTACGAGTTCTTCTCCATTCACCATTTCACCGTCCAAATCCTCAACCTAGGAGTCAGAAGCTGTCCCCTTTGACATAATGAGGACCAAAAACCAAATCCTCCACTGTTTATGTATATTAATAGTATATTAATTTAGACTCTTCTTCTTCTTCTTCTTCATCATCATATATAAATATATTAATTTATTTTGGACATTTTTAATAAAATAATAAAGCAGGGTAACACATGCATATCGAAACCAGTCTATTATTTATAGTGATATTGATAATTTTATCGTGCAAGCATGAAATAGTTACAAAAATTGCTTTAATGATTGACTGGAGTTGTCTCCTATATTTGTCTCAATTTAAGCCACACATCTTAAATTAGTTTTTTATATTAATTATTAATATTCAATTTATATTAATCAATTAATTTTTATAAACATATATAAAAAATAATAATTTAAGTTGATATTTAATTATTAAATTATATCATATAAAAAATTAAATAAATATTATCTTATAACCATTTTAAATTCTTTATTATATATATTTTGTTTTACATTTTTAATATATCTGCATTAAGTTACACTTGTGTTGAGTCATTTTTATGGCAAGTGAACATATTTATTCACCCAAGAGGGTTTCCGATATCTGGATGTTTGGACGAAGAAAGAACCGAAGTTCCAAGGTCCAAATGGTGTTTAATTATGCCTTCAGTATCTGTATCTTTGGATTTTTAAAATTTAATCTCCTTACTTTTAATTTCATAAAATTAGCCCATTATTATTTCAAATTCAACGTATGACATTATCAATTGATTTTTTAAAAATATTTTACCCAGTATACTTTAATTTTTAAACCATATATTTAAATATTAGAATATTAAATTTCAGCAATAGTGTTTATTAATTTTAGAAACTTTTAAATTAAAATCAAAGATGAAGGATTAAATTTCAACAAGTTGGGACAACAAAGGGAGTGGAAGCAGATTAAGCGTCCGGTCCAGATGACAGATTTGTAAATGTATTTTAATAAAAAGGACAAATTGGTAAAAGAAAATGTGAATTCTTAACTGCCCATGTAATAAAATGGTAACAAATGTTGATTACCTAAACTAGGAAAAATCCAAAAAAATTGAAAAACCCTAGGACACTGCCTGTCGTCCAATATTTATAACGCACCCCTTCCCTTTCAGTTCCTCCGTTCTTAACCATTACCTCTCTGCATCCTGTACTTGTTTTTCTTTTAGAATAATTGAGTGTAAAATCGATGATTCTTCCATCCAACCTTTTCTCCTAACTTGAAAACCCAGAACAAAAAGAAAGAAAGAAACTGTAGATATGAAAGGTCGATCTTCAAGGCACGAACCAAAAGAAAGAATGGAAATTGATAAGATTAGTAAACTCAAAGAAGAGCCTCGTCTATCTGGTGCTTATATCCGTAACCTTGTTAAACAACTCACCACTTCCAGAACCAAAAACCACCTCATCAACCTCCCCAAAGAACCCGACGACGGTTTCGATGGCCAGAACTCGGCCAAATTCGGTGAAGGTTTTAATGAAACACCGCCACAGACGACCCAGCAACAACCCCAGCCACCACCTCAACAACATAAGAAGCAGGTGAGGAGGAGACTTCACACCAGCAGGCCTTACCAAGAAAGGCTGCTTAATATGGCTGAGGCTAGGAGAGAAATTGTCACCGCACTCAAGTTCCATAGAGCTTCCATGAAACATGCAAATGATCAGCAGAACCAACAACAGCGGCTGCAGCATGAGCAGCAATTGTTGTCCCATACTACCTCTAATCTTTCATCTCCACCACCACCACCTTTTGAACAAGAACCTAAGACTAAGTCTAGGAGAAATCCTAGGATATACCCATCAAGCACCACAAACAGCTTGTCTAGTTATAATTTAGACAGTTTTTCATCTTTCTCTCAACATTACCCTCATCCTACACCTGCTCCTGCAAATCCATATTCTTGGCCTGCTCCTCATCAGACTTGTTTTCCGTCTCCCACAGATGCTATCAACTTCACTCTGCCAAACCAAACCTTAGGCCTAAACCTTAACTTTCAAGATTTCAACACCATAGACACCAGCCTTTACCATAACAACGACAACCCATCAATCTATTCATCATCATCTCCATCGTGTTCGTCCTCGCCGACTCTCTCGGTTGTAACCGAAGAAGTTCCTTCGGTTGCACTATCATCACATGAAGTGCGGACAGGAGCTATGGCGGCTGATCTAACTAAATCCTACGGTGGGGAAGGACTGCATCAAGCTATGGATGATGAGGAAATGGCGGAGATCAGATCATTAGGAGAACAGCATCAGATGGAGTGGGATGACACCGTGAATTTGGTAACATCAGCATGGTGGTTCAAGTTCTTGAAGACTATGGAACTGGGGGCACCTGAAGTGAAAGCTGAGGAGGAGGATGGCTATCAACCATTTGATCAAGTGATGGAATTCCCTGCCTGGTTGAATGCAAATGACGCCTGCTTGCAACACCATTTCACTGATATTTGCCCTGATGACTACTTCCAGGATTCTGCCTTACCTTGGTAAGAATCAAAAACTTAAAAAAAAAATTGCGAAAAAAGTATATCAATTAAGGAATATTTCTCATGTCATGTCCATTCATTCCCTGAGTATTTAGTATGATTTTGATTCTCAATCAAACAAGTAAAAAAATCAATATTTTGGTGAATTCATCATATAATAATTGGATTGATTCAGAAGTTTACCCTTTCTTTGTCAATTTTTCATTGATGCACGCACTTCCAACAGATGCCACCCTATGTCGTTACTCAAACTCAATTGCCCCCAAAAAGCCCATTTAACTTCTAATGATATGGTCTCTTTTAAAAGTTATTAGTAAAAAAAAAAGGAGTTATTGAATCGAACTTAATATTTGATGTTAACTCGTATAAATATATTATTTATATGATAAGATATTGAGATTTTACAAGTTGACTAACTTAATTTTTGGTATTTACTACACAGCATGGACATTGGAGAAATTGAAGGAATAGATGGGGAATGGCTGGCTTAACAAGGATTGATTGTGTTTTTTAATTAATCAAACCCTTGGCAATTTATGTCCCCTTTGTTTGCATCTTTAAGTCCTTTCGCCCCTACTTTTTTAAGCACTGCTATCTCTAGAAATTTAAATAACAGGCTTGCACATGTGGAAGGTCAACACGCATTGCAGGTCATTCGGGAAAATAATATTACTATGTATCCAGCGAGAGGAGTTTGTTTTCTCTTCTACAAATTTTCCAATATCCATCATTTTTATATATTTTTATTGCCTCTTTTTTATTTATATTAATAATCATATTTTCGATAATTGGGATATCATTGATGAAATAATACATCAATACATTTTCTCAATCTTAAATATGCTTGGTATCAAGTCTTAAAAAATTACATAAATAATTTTGATTAAACCATAAAAGAATAATTCAGCTATCCGAATGCAACGAGGAACCACAGTAAATTTGAATTGGAGGGTTAAATTAAAAAATAAAGATTGAATTGTAATCTGATCGACATAGAAGTTTGTAAATTTGAATTGTAGGATTGAATTTTGAAAAATAGATTGAATCATAATTTGATTGGTATGGTTGTTATTGTAACATTTAAGGGTATGAGACTCGATCATTATATATATCATACACTGAGATAGAAACTGAATTGGTTCAAATGAAAGTAGAGAATTTATAAAAGGGAAGAAAAAAACGTGGAGGAAGAATGTAAGGATAGAAGAGGAGCTAGAAGCTAAGGTTTAGGCGGTCCAAGTGTAGGAAAGCAGGCATGCAAAGGGCAAGCGTCAAAGCCTCGATATATTACATGCTACTAGGCATAATATTGGCATGTAAATTGTCAAATCATTTTCTGCATGTCTTTACCGTATCATCTCAACAATAAATAAATAAATGAGAGTTTATATCTACAAATAATACCGACCAAGCAGTCCCAGTTGAAGGAGAGCTTTCCTATTGAGAATTCCACCTATTATGATATCTTGCAAATCACAGTTGCCCATAATCCATATATATATATATATATATATATATATATATATATATATATATATATATATATATATATATATATATATATATTATGGAGCCATCTACTTGGCTCTGAACGGTAGGAAAAATGTGAAACGATGAACATAAATGAGAATTGGCGTTCAGACGGGTCAATTCTGAAGCCAGATCAGCTTCTGTTCCAATCCCTTTACGATCCAACTTTCAGGAATGGGCTTATATTATGTCCTATTGATCCAATCTGCTACTCCAAAGAAACGACAAAAATGGGAAACTAAACACAACTGAAGAGTGCGAGAGGTACGTTTCAAATGGAATGATAGCTCCATTGACCCGCTCTTGCCTTTTCAACATCCTTCAGTAGCTTGACTCGATGATGTTGATTACACAGCACTTTCCATCTTTAACTACAAGCCTACCTTTCTTCTTACGTTTAGGTGTCGGTCAATAGTCCGTCCCCAAACATCAATCAATATATGCAGAAGAAAAACAAAGATGAAGAGATGGAATAATGTAAAATGGGGCATACCCAAGTGGTGGGTCAATTCCAAAAATTAGAGCTTATTTTATGTTTTGTTTGCTGTGGGTTGATTTTTCTTACTGTTTTGATATCACATTATACGGGTGAAAATGACATGAGAAAGACAGTGGGCAGCTATATAGGATCTTGTAGGCACTAGATGGTTGAATAAGAAGAGGAGAGATGGTTCATATGGTACATGACATGAGTCATGTCGGGGGATATACAAAATCAATTAAAATGGTTTAATCATTTGTTGGTGGACTATCTCCCCTCTCCCTTCCTCATGATGTGCATGCAGAAGGAATTCAGAAGTTCTTGATTTCTCTACCGCTTTACAAAATATTGTGGCATAGCTCTATGAATCCATTTCCCTGCGCATGCTCTGATATTACCACTCATCACTGCATTTTGAAACCCAAACTGAAACCACTTTATATCATCCAATCCAACCTAACAAAACAGGACTTGTTGACTCCTGCTTCATAGTTTAGACGATATCAAATTATTTCACTACATTTCCATGTCATCCTCTTACTGCAACTCTTTACTCATCTTTTCAACCCTTTCTTTCCCTATAGTACACGGTAATTCTACTCTAATAACTTGGGATTTTACTGTCTCAAATTTGAATAATTTACTGATTTTAAACATTCTTCTTCTTCTTTATATATATATATATATATATATATATATATATATATATATATATGAGCAAAATATATTAGAGATTACAAAATTATGGTTAAGCGATAATCAATGAGGTTGATTCAAGTGGTAAGTAGTTTGATATCGCTAAATAAATTTTGAGATTTTATGTATGCAGAAAATCCTCAATGAGAGACTCGTCTATCAAAATTATGAGTGTTACATAAATCAATTTGAATTAGTCATGAAAAAGTCATAAAAAACTAAGAAGACAACCTCTTCAAATAGGCTACACAACTAACAAAACAAGCAAAAAAATATACAACTTAAACCTAAAATCATGGAAAACATAACAACTTAGATAAAAAAACAATAATTGCCTGTAGACTAGGTCCATAAAAACTACTGAAAAAGTCTAACAAATCCTCCCTTAAACTAATATTAATTTCTAATATCAGTTTAAACTAAGAAATCTTTATGCCTAGCTAACTCCCTGCATTTGTCACCTTGCAAACTCCAAGCATTTGTTGCAGCTTCTGAAATGTTGCAAGTTTGAGGGCCTTGTAAATATATCTGCGATTTGATCCTCACTTCTGCAATATACCATATCAATCTCTTCATAATTCACACAATCTCTCAAGGAATTATATTAGACGTCAATATGCTTGCTTCGTCCGTGCAAAATATAATTCTTAGATAGCTTTATGGTTGAACTATTGTCAGTAGATAATAATAAGTCCCTTTTGCTTGAAATGAACTTCCTCAAAAAGATTTCTCATTCAAATGGATTGACATACACATGTTGATGCAGCTAAAAGTTTCGCTTCGATTGTTGATAGAGTGACAATTGATTGCTTTCATGACAACCATGAAACAACTCCCGACCCTAACATATAAACATAACTAGATGTACTTTTTCTATCATCTTGGTCTCCTACATAGTCACTATCCGTAAACCCAATCAAGTCTGATTTTCTCCCTTATTGTACAAAATTCCATAGTCGATTGTACATTGCAAATATCTAAGGATTTTTTTTGTTGCTTGAAGATATATTTCCTTTGGACGTTCTATGAATCTACAAATAACATTTACAACATATGTTATATATGGCCTGGTCGCAGTGAGATACATCAAACTCCCCACGACTTGCTTGTACAAAGTATTGTCGACGACTCTTCCATTACCATCTTTTACCAACTATAAACTTGTCTCTGCTGATGTACAAATCGGATTACAGTTCTCCATTTGAAACCTCTTTAGAATCTTCTGTTCATTCAAATCTCAATGAAAAAATGTCGACTTGACATTTAGTTGAAAAATTGGCCAAGAATTTTGAGCAGCCTATGCAATCACCAATCTGATTGAGTCATGCCTAGTAACTCTAGCGAATACCTCCTTGTAATCAATGTCGAACTCTTGACTATAACCTTTCTCTACCAAGCGTGCTTTGCATTTGTCAACTTCACATGTTTTCTTCAGTTTTGTCCTATAGACCCACTTCACATCAATAGTTTTATGTCCCTGTAGAAGCTCAGTTAACTCCCACGTTTTGTTCCTTTCAATAGCTGGAATTTCATCATCCATTGCTTTCTTCCATTTTATTGTTTAATCGCCTCTTCAAAAAAGACAAGATCACAATCTGAAAAAAGAGCAAAATAAGTGAGTGGTTCCTCAGATTAATTAATTTCTTGAACTTCATTATCTCTTATTTAGGCAGGTTTTCTTCTTATACATGGTGTTGTTGGCTCTGTTGCAACATCAAGTGACTTTTGAATTATTTCTTGTTGCTCATTTGGTGGCTGCGAAATATCTTCAATGTGTAACTCTCTATCAAAATCTGTTGAAATATTCCTTTGAATTATTGGTGTTTTCCAACACCAGAACCTTACTTCATCAAAAATCACATCATGACTGATGAAAATTTTCTTTGTGTTAGGATTATAAAACTTGAATACTTTAGTACATTCACTAACACCAAGAAAGATGCATTTTTCTCCTTTGTCTTCTAACTTCTTTCATTTTTTATCAGAGACATATGCATAAACAATACACCCAAAGATTCTGAAATGGCTGACATCGGGTCTCTTTCCGCTCCATGCGTCTTTCACTTTTCTTTGTTGCAATAAACTTCGTACCATGTTGAAAATGGTTCAATTCTTTCTTTCGGATACATCATTCTGCTGAGGAACGTAGGTTGTTGTTAATTGCTTTTTAATTCCATGTTTTTCATAAAATTGAGTGAAATCATGTGAATTATATTATCCTCCGCTAATCCTATTTCTAATGGAGGTAAACGTTATCTTAACACATTTATAGATGATTTAAGTAAAAAACTTTGGGTTATTTTTTTACAGGAAAAATTCAAAGCTTTTACCACTTTCAAAATATTTAAAGAAACACTTTTATAGAATGCCATGCTTCTTTCTCAACTGTTGCTTTAAATCTTTTGAAACTAGTAAAAGCTTTGTATTTTTCCTGTAAAAAATAACCTAATTTTTTTTTACTTAAATCATCTATAAAGGTGATAAGATAACGTTTACCTCCATTTGAAATGGCATTAATTGACCCACAAATATCATAGTGCACTATCTCCAATAGGTTTCTTGTTTTTTCAGATTTTCCTTTTGGAAATGGTTATCGGTGTTGCTTACTGAGCACACATTCCTCACATACATTTGTAGGTCAAGAGAACTGTGGGAGGCTAACTACCGTGCTTTTTCGTTTAAGCGTTTGTAAGCCTCTAAAACTGAGATGACCGTAACAAAAATGCCATAGTTGCATTTGATCATACAGGCTCGTTGCAAAACTAGACCGAGTAGAATGATTGAGATTGAGATAGAGATGAAACATCCGATTTGCTGCCATAGCTTCGAGCAATTAATTCTGATTTTCCATCTTGAACTTGAAACATCCCATTTTTAATTTTGATCTTTAACCATTCTCTTGCAATTGACCAATACTTAACAAATTGATCTTTAAATCTGGGACATAAAGAACATCAGATGGTCTGAGTAACATTACTTTTATTTAGAATAGTTACATATTCATTGCCTATCACAGAGATCTTAGTATTGTTGTCAAACTTTACATTATCTCTTAATGATTCATCAAGAGTGAAAAAATTGTCTTATCTCCACTCATGTTATTGCTACATCCGGTGTCTAAATACCACAAATATTTGTTGGTAGGTTCTTTTGCATGACATACCATCAACAATGATACCTCTTCATCTTGTTCTATTTCCTTTCTAACAAAATTGGATTCTTCCCCATGTGCACATAAGAAAGTGGTTCGACACTCCGAATTGTAATGACCATACTTGTCTGCTGGTTGTGTTTGATAATTGCCATGTTTTCTCACTCTTTCATGAGATTGGTTTCCTGAATTATGTCGATGATCATAACTTCCTCTACCGCGACCTCTACCTCGGCCTCTGTCATTATGGCCATTTGATCTGCATCCTCAATTGCCTTTAATACGATTGATTTGGCAAAACTTTCAATGTTAATTCTGCATTATCTTGTTGCACCAATTTTCTTTCATGAACCAACAATGAGCCTTGCAATTTATTAATGGATAAAAGATCAAGATCTTTTGACTCCTCAATGGAACATACCACATAATTGAAATTTGGTGTCAATGAGCGGAGAATTTTTTTACTACAACCACATCCTCTATTTTCTCGCCAAATGTTCTCATCTTGTTGATGATAACCATTATCCTTGAGAAAAAGTCAAAAATGGTATCCCCATATTGCTTTCGATAAAGTTCAAACTTTGAGCGAAGTTTCTGAAGCTGTTGCCTCCTTGCTCTGGTTGATCCCTGGAATTTCTTTTTCATCGAATCCCAAATATCCTTTGATGTATCTTTGCAAAGGATAGTTTCAAGGTTAAACGATCAATCACTTGAAAGAGATATTTCTTTGCCTTAAGATATTTCAATTTCAAAGCGTCAATTTCTAATCGTTGTGCATCCATAGAGATGACTTGCCAATACTCATTGGATCTAGAAAATTTTCCATCAACATGCTCCAATGATCGTAGTGACCATCAAAGAGAGGAATTGATGGTTGTACAAAACTATATGAGGATATTTTGTTAACTAAATGAGGAGAAAACTGTTGTTTTATCGCTAATTAAACCTGGCTCTTGATGCCACTATTGTATGAGCAACATATTAATGTAAATGAGATAATTTAGAAGGAATATGACATATTATTAATGGATCAAAACAACCTCTTTAAATAGACTACACAACTAACAAAACAAACAAACAAATATGCAACTTACTCCTAAAATCATAGAAAGCACAACAACTTAGATATAAAAAACAAACAAGCAACTGCATGTAAACTAGGTCCATAAAAACTACTAAAAAATCTAACAAATAATTATTTCATAATAGTTCAATATTATTAAATTATTATACTTGCCCTTATGTAGTTGCTTTTAAGGCATCAACTTTATAGTAATATGGTAGGAACCCAACTTAATAATAGGGATCAACTTTAATAAAGGACACCGATGTTTGTATACCGAAAATGCTTTCAATTTTATATCTCAATATTCATATTTTTTTCTTTAAAAAACTATAATTTCTTTCAAATTACACGATAACATCACTTTGGTATAATTTTTTTAATTTAGTGACTAAAAGTGAACATGTATAAAACGAAAGTAACTATTTAAGAATTTACCCTTCTAAATACAGTTTCTATTTCGCCCTAAAAAATGCAAATAGCTATTGGATGAGGATTTAATTTGGTTGTAATTACGAAGTAGAAATGTGGTCACTTTCAATAACATTATTAGGGAAGCTATTGCATGTGTTATCTCATCCAGTTTCTCCTCCACAAATATATTTTTTAAGTGAAAATATCTTTTTATAGCTCATATAACATTAATTATTAATAAGTCGTACATATGCTAAACCTATATCAAATCTATTGGGGTGTTATTTATATTTGATTTTTATCTTTATTAATATTATCAGGGTAAATAACATTGGAGGTCTCTTATATTTTCGGCATGTTAGAATTTTGGTCACTGATTTTAGAAAAGTTTGGTTTTGATCACGTTTGATCCAACTTATTTTAATCATTTGAAAGTTAATTTTTTGTTATTTTATTGACATGACATGTTAATAAAAATAATTAATTTCGTTTTTGTTAAAATACAAGCATGCATTTTTTCTCTCTAAAGCCACACTTGCACCATAAAGAAAAATCAATGTCCGCTTGATGAATTGGAATGCGTTTTAAAGAAATCATGTCATTCTTTTAATTGCAGTAGTTAATTATTTTATCTATTTAGATTAACTGATTTTATAAAAATAGGAGGATTAAAATATTTAAAACTAAAGTACGAAACCAAATCCAAAATTTAAGTATAACAAAGGGACCAAACCTAGAAATTGACGTTCATTTTCAAAGCAAAGTAGCAAGAAGCGCTGGCCGGCTACAGTCTCTTTATTTTAATGGGTTTCCCTTTCACTTCCATGTACTTTATTTGTTCAAATGACAGTAAGGAAAATCATAATTAACTATGAGAAAATTTTGGCAAAGGGAAGAAGGATGGCGTCAAAATTATTTAAAAAAGTCGTAGGAACTATGAATTATAGGCAGCGAGGTGGGGGAAAAAACGCTTCTTTTTTTTTTATAGTAATTTCATAGAGCCTCTTTTGGATTTCAAGCTGCGAGGGAAAAACCAGGCAAAATGCTTTTGAAGAAAACAGCTGCCTTTCATCGAAGTCACCACCAGCATTTGATTTAATCATTAATACGTAATTTTGTAACTCAAAGAGTGGAGTTGGAATCTTCTTTTAAAAAACATACTCAAACCATTGCCGCCATTTGCACTTAACAATGGTGGAGCCCTGCAGCCTTAGCAGAAAAGATCAGACTTTGAATGGTTAGCTCCTTAGAATTCAAAAGATCACCGAATAGAGCAAAAAGATCAAAGATCACCGAATAGAGCAAAGATGCTTGCCAGGGTTTGTTTCCTCTCTGCATTGTATCTAAAAGATCACCGAATAGAGCAAAAAGATGCTTGCCAGGGTTTGTTTCTCTCTGCATTGTATCTATGACAATGGCAGACCCCAAAAAGAAAGCGCTTGCTTCAAAAATAATTCACCTTTTCTTTTTACCATAGCCTTTATATATGTAAGTTAATCAACTCGAAAAAAAATAAAAGCCAAAAATCCTCGTTTCGTCTCCAATCTCTGATCCCATTCGCCCCCTCTCTCTTTATTTTCCCCTTATTATAAAAAAGATGCTTGCCAGGGTTTGTTTCCTCTCTGCATTGTATCTATGACAATGGCAGACCCCAAAAAGAAAGCGCTTGCTTCAAAAATAATTCACCTTTTCTTTTTACCATAGCCTTTATATATGTAAGTTAATCAACTCGAAAAAAAATAAAAGCCAAAAATCCTCGTTTCGTCTCCAATCTCTGATCCCATTCGCCCCCTCTCTCTTTATTTTCCCCTTATTTAATTCCTCTTTTTTCACATTCAGGATTCCTTCTTTTGACTCACTTATTTCGAGTTTTCTTTCCTTGGGTTCATTTAAATTCGTTTGCTCATTTTAAGTGAATGATAGAAAGAAGAAAACATGGATGGTCTGAACAAGGTGGAAGTGATAAACAGCAAAGGCTGTTCAAGGTTGTTTGTTGGTTTCTCACCTTCAGTGCCATCGTTCAGAAGTTTCCAATCTTCTGAACCAATGTCTTCTGCTCCTATCTCTCTTGGTTCTGAACCTTTAACGGTTCGATCCACCGGTCCGTTTTCAGGTCTGGTTATTTGCGTCACTGGCTTGTCTAAAGGTTGGTAAATTTGTATCTAAATTCAATCCTTTTTTTCCTACTCTTCGGCTTCGTTTTTTATTTTTTGGTTTGTTGTTTTGGGTAATTTTTTTCAGTTTACTGCTGAATGAGTTTGATAAAACTTGTATGATTTTGAGTCTGGGTACTCGAATTTCGATTGCACTCATCATGTTTTGCCATTGCATGTATTAACACGTTGATTTGTCTGTTGTGCTTGCAGAGGCAAGGAAACAAGTTATGGAGGCAACGGAGAGATTAGGTGGTCAATACAGTAATAGTTTACATCCTCAATGCACCCATTTGGTGGTCCAGATATCCTTTCTCATTTGCTTTAAATTACTTAAATTTTGGCATAATTTTGAAACTTGGCTGATTGAAATAAAGAGAAAGAAATAACCAATATGATTGTAAGTATGTGTAAGATGATGATAAACGGTTTCTATTGGTCCTGTCTTTGAATTGTCTTTACTACTGCAATCGCATTTGTAATGTCGAGCCTTAATATAATCTACAGCTTTAGCGGACGTAAGTTCGAGCATGCTGTAAAACATGGATCAAGAAATGGTCTACTCCTTGTTAAACTTGGATGGTTTGTGGATAGCGTCAACAGGAATGGTAAGATTAGGCTGATTCTCAATTCAGACTTCCCTTTTTGTGATTTAAGTTTTGTTGCAGTATGAAGGATTTGCTGTTTCAATTTTTCTACGTTCATGCAGTAAGGTTAAGTGAATCGCTCTACGCCGTGAAGGGTATTGGAGAACATGTTACGCCTGAAGATGAGTTGAATCGGCTTGCTGTGTCGACCGCTTCCAAAAGTTCGTGTCTTCCTGCCGGTTTTCATGATGCCAAGAAAATAGACACGATAGAAACACCACATGCGCGGTTTTACCAAAGAGGTCCTAATAAAAGTTTGAACTCAATGTTATATGGTCATACCATGTACATTGATTCTGATATTTCAGTTGAGCTACGGAATAAGGTAACATTCAGTTTGCTGCCTGAAATTGATGTCGTTTGAAACGCTAATTTAGAATATGTTGCATTTCTGCGTGGTATAAGTCATAAACTGAGGTCATAGATTTGGTGTGTCAGTCTATATGTCACTGCAAGACTTGTACATAACTCACCATGTTAGTTATGGCGATTTGTTATCAATTCATTGAGACATTTAGTATGTCGATAGGTTCTTGAAGCTGCTTCAAAAGAAGGGGCCACAGTGGTAGATCGATGGTTTGTTGGTTGCGGTGCAAGTCATGTGGTGTGCGAAAGAAGTTCCATCCATCGATATATTGGCCACTCAAACAACATTATTACGGTGAGTGCTTCTGCATTGCCATTATGGGAACAGGGTATTTTTTTATGCATGATCCATTGATCATCACACTGCTTTTGATTCCGACACTTTTTTCTCTGAGCAATATGCATAGCACCTGCAAGAGCAAACAAACTTTGTTATGCTTGAACTGTTTCGATATTTAATGTCTCAGCCACTATGGGTCCTCAAAACAGCTAAGGATAGGACTTTGCAGAGACTTGTTCACATGTCTACTGATTTAGCCATGCAGATTGGGGCAGTGATCGAAAATGCTCAGAACGCCAATGTAGGAGAGGTACTGTTTTATTCTTACGATATGGGTACATGAATTCCTTGAGAAATAGATTTCACATTTTTTCCTTCTATATTAGCAAAAGAGCCATTTTATGCCTTCTGCTAACTAGATTCAGCTTTGGTTTCAACCGGCAATACTATAGACAGTTCTGATTGTGTTGCATTATTCTAATGTTAAGTTTCACCTTTGTTTCAATAGGAAAATAATGTGGCTAATTCGACGACCCCAAGCGTTAGAAGGAATGAAAGTCATCAAGAGAGGCAACAGATTGTACATTTAGCTAAAACTGGGGTTAGAAATCGCCGCAGTCTCCGTATGCAGGCAAGTTGTTTTGATCGTGTTTGGTATGCGCTAGCACTTGGTGCTAATGTGATTTCTTGCATTTCTTAGATGATCTGTTTTCTTTCAGACTTGTCAAACCCCAATCCATCCTATAAGCCCAACCAGTCTTTTGGAACCAGTTTGCTGGTCAATATCCGACCCAACTTCGACTGCTTCTATTTACACTGACACTTTGAGTGGCGAAGATGTTAGTGACCATCAATCTGTATTCTTTGATGCAAATGGTGATGGCAAGGGTTCTGAGGCCTCTTTTACAAACTTAACCCGGTCACTTACAGAAAGGTGATGGATCACTCTCTTGATATTCTAGGTATTTGTCCCATAGTCTTTTGGGTTCCTTCTCATGTTTTGATTTAATAATTCTCATGCAGCGAGAAAACTGAGTTAATAATCAAAAACCACTTTGTTACCATACTGTTTCCGATTGATCGATTTTCTGAGATGGGGCCTTCTTCAAGGACATATTTCAGTGATAACGGCTTTACATGTCTGCAGATTTTGGATTGCATATATGCCTTTTATCAGGTATGACTTGGATATGTTTCTCGTCCCTGGAATAGTATTAATTAGGTTATAAAAGCAAAATGTTGAACCAGGTTTTTAGTATCAATCATTACCAATTTTTTTTCCTGTTTCTGTTCTTTTGCAGGAGAACATGTCAATTCATGAAATAGAGGCTGCTATTCACACAGACTCGAGGCATGCCAACCAGCTTCGATCAGCATACTTGAGTAAAGAGACAGTAGAACGTGGATATATGGCTTTCAAAAGAATCGATTTCTTAGGAAGTTGTAAAAGCTTTGAAATGCTGAAGCGCGTTAGTCAAGATAATAACACTAATGTGTACGAGCTCTTGATCAGAGCTTAACCATGTCTTTGCATTGTATGCCATCATATATCTATATTGAATATGGTGAATGATACTGCAGAGCACCTTCTCTCATAATCACTTTAAACGAGAAAAGAATGAAAATGGGCGACTGATGGATAATACAACATTCTCTATATCTTTGAAATAGAGATCCCCCTGCGGTTAAAGTTCATAAAGCTTAATGCGTGCTGAAGTGACCCAAGAACTTTTGTTTTTGGTCAGCAATTTGCATGCTCTTCTCTGCTTGTCATTCAGTAATATGCCAAATATCGGTAATCAAACACTGAAAAGTAAATAATGAGGGCAAAAACACTGAAAGGTAATAGCAGATAAGCTTTAACAGAAGGAAAAGCACAAGGCAGAACCTTCAAACAAGGTCAGTAATCAAACCAATATGTTAGTTCATCAGCCGCTCGTACGTCAATAACCCCGCGCCAGTATAATTTTGTAAGAAATGTTCTTTTATATTGGATTCCTGTAGCGTGGTTTTGTGTGCTTTTCAAGTGGTGCTTCACTCGAATTTAATAACAAAACTAGTCTAACGCCAGCACTCTTGAAAAGGTCCAAGGGAATGCATAACACTATTCGGCATGGTCCAACTATATTAAAATAGATCACTCCTGAATCCACCCCCAAGGATGCTCATATTGTTTGGGTTCGAATCATGACATTTTCCTTGAAAATGTACTACACACTCTCTACTTAATCAAAAAAAAAAAAAAATAGATCACTCCTGAAATCCATCCCCAAAGGCCCAGACTAAACAAGCCAAGAATAGAAAGACTAAAATTTCAACACGAGTTATTTCAAGAATCCGTCTATCATGTAATTCAAATCTATCAAGTTACATCTGAGATTAAACCCAAAATTTAACAAAGTAAGATTTACGATACAAAATTAACAAACCAGAGAAAAGATGTTGCTTACCGGCAGTATCTGCCCCAGCACAACCCCCTGCCCCTGATGCTACCAAAATGTAATTGCCGTGGTCATCTGGCTAAACATTAATGATACACTTCTTTTTTTTCCACCTTTTTCTTCCCCCAACTTCTGCTTTTTGAACTTTTTTTTTTCAATTTTTTCGACTTCAACTACTCTTCCTTTTCCTCCCATTTACAGATACATGAATTGACTATGGTGACTATGACTTGATGGTTTTTTTTACTGTAGTGTTAAAAACTCCTATACCTCAACTCAGTCAAGTCCATGGCTTCAATATATCACAACTCGAAGCAACCCTGGCTGTGGTTCTGTATAGTCAAGGCCCTCTTCTTCAAGAAGATAACGTTGTACAGCAACTGGAAGTCTTGCTGGATTACGAGCACCCCTAGTATGGTGGCCAGTTCCAACACATATGTATACTTGCAGGAGCTGAGCTGCTGCCCGTGCTGTGCCCCTCAGCACTGATAGTTCATGCTTCAGCATATGAAGGGCTTCGCTAACATGCAATCCATGCAGGTCTATCATCCGCTCCTGTCCTCTGAAATTCTCTAGAGGAACTGGGTTCCTATATTATTATAGTTTGTAAACAGTCAAACAAGAACATATCAGCATTAAACCAACCAAAATAATAACCAAGAGTTTCAATTACTGGAAATAACCAACAACCAGGATTCAGAACAAACAAACTCAGGTGTATTAAGCATCAGACCTGTGAGCATGAAAGATGGACAGATAGTGAAAGGAGAAAGGATAGGTAGTGGTGGTGGTAGTAGAAGTGAGGCATACAAACCAATAATACTTAATTGTTGACATTCCCGGAACACATAATAACTAATGTTTTTATTCTCCACCAAAAAAATACCCCTTGATCAACAGATGTTAAAAGCAATAGTAGTAGTAGTAGTAGCAAGAGAAGAATATCTTGAAGCCTTTAAACCACCCGGTAAAGGGACCAACTGCAACAGGAAAGAAATGACAAACCTATGTTGATATATAGACTCCTGAGCTTTTCCATGTGCTTCCTTCATATGCATATTGTACATTTGTCCTTTCACACTAAGCTCCTTTGCTAGAGTCTTGTTGCCAATGAGAAATGCTTGACGTGCCTATGTTAAATATACAAGTACCATCACTTAACAATATGGGTATGTTGTGTAGACTTAGTTCAGTGGGGTAGAAAGAAAGAATGAGAGAGAGAGAGATCATCAATGAAGGAAAGACTTCATGTGCAAGTTCAGTGGGGTATGTTAGAAATTTGCTTTCTACCAGTCTAATAATTGATGCACTCTGAGCTCGTATAGTTGCAATGCACCAAACACATGCTCGTTGCTCATTTTGAAGCTTAGGGGGATACTACTTTTGTTTCAAACTGATACAAGCAAAATTTGTACAGGAAGGACTCAAAAAAGTAAAACTCATTTCCCAGGGTTGCAAAATGGTGCACAAATAAATTGGAACAAAGGTGGTTGAGCAATTAGGCTGAAATACACTCAAAATTCCATTGTTTACTAGCAAAAAGTAGGAACCTATAAACGGAGCAGTTTCAATATATGAAAAAAGTTTCCAGTGAAATACCTGTTCAAAATAAGCATTACGTAAACGTGCATGGTCCCGAGCTTCCTCCCGTAGTTCAGAGTACAAATTTGCTGCCAGCTCAATAACGTTAAAGCAAATAAATGTGCAGAGAGAATATATTTCTCCTACTAAAAGCTCTGTAAATGCCTTGTCAGAAGATCGATAGGGACTGGCATTATGTTGAAGATCATCCCCTGCATATTTTGAAGGACCACTCTGATCATCTGATACGGTAAGTGCAGGAATGTCCATAGTACTCAAACTGGGAGCTGACAAGGTCTTTGAATTCAGGTTCTGGTTGAAACCACCATCAACTTGAAGCTTCAATAAGAATCAAAAAGACTCATGGAATGCTAAAAGATGTAATACAATTGATAGGCATAAAACATACAACAAAAACTCCAGAAAAAGAATTCTCTAGGGTACTAGAAAATTGTGAACCAAAAACAAAAACGAAGATATAATTGCAAAATTAAAATAAGAAAATCCTAAAGAAAACTGTCTCTGTGTACCAGGCCACCGGGATTCTATAAGCTAGAGTCAACGCACAAATTGGAAGGAACAAACCAGACAACAAAAACTCCAGTAAAAAAACTTGCGAGGATACTAGAAAATTGTGAGCCCAAACCAAAAACCTTAGAATATATAACTGCAAAAAAGAAGAAAATCCTAAAGAAAACTGTCTCTGTACCAGGCCACCAGAATATTATCAGCTAGAGTCAACACACAAGATTATGGTTGACTTGCGTCACCTCAAAACTTTGAGGAGCCAGCTTTTCCCTGTCAAACTGCAGTTAACATCAAACCATTACCATCCAATGCCATCCACAGCAGATTCCCAAGACCCCATAAGTAAAACATAAGAAAAGGTGATAAGCAATTGCAATGAAAATAAAGGAATGCGGAAAACTTTTAAACACAATTCCGCATCCAGATTTTGGCCATAAACCTTTGAGTGATTCTGCAACTTTCTAGCAATTGATAATGGGAAAATAATTTAATTATCTAAAAAATTAAGATAATCATAAAATAAAATATCTATATATAACTTGAAGATGTAAATAACTGTTGCATCAGTACTTGAACAAAAAGGGCAGATGCAAGCACTTAGACCAAAAAAACAAAGTTGAGGACCACTCACCTCGAGCTGTGTAAGCATCTCTATAGTTAGATTTAAGTCACAACCATTGGCAAAATAAACTTCAGCAAGGCTTTCAGCAGCAAATCCAGGGAACTGAGAAGCCAAAAAATCCACATGACTCATTTCAGTATCATCCATGTTTGTTTGCTCACCCAAAATATCATTGACGAATACATGTCTAGAGTTTCCATTATATGGTTGCCCCTCCCTCCCATTGCCAATCGGCTGATTACTGTTAACAAGTTGCTTGTCCCAAGGTTTGAGTGGCAGGTTCAAAATACTGGCTGAAATAGGATCTTCTCCATAAGATGAAGCCGGATATCTCAAATTTTCAGCTCTGTTACTACCATTACCATAGTGATGCAGCAGTTCCTGCTGATCATCAAATACATATCCACTGCCAGCAGGAAACCTTGAGGCTTTGCTACCATCATGCAAGGACAAACCTTCTATATAGAGGCTCCCAGATTCGTTTCCTTGAGCGTCATCTTCATTAATAACCTTAAAGTCCGGGGTAATGTCATCAGGGAGCTGGTGTCGCCAGAACTGATGAGCCTCATCATCAGAATTATTTGAAACAGAAGACCCAGACCGATCAAGCACTGCTTTCCCAACAGTACCAGTAGTAGCAAACGTTGCTGTTGCAGCAGCTGCTTGGATGCTTCCTGATGAAGACAGTGACCTAAGAGAAAAGGGAACGAACTCAGCTGCATTGGGATTCAGAGTTGTTACCTTGCTAGGGGTATTTAGTTTTGTGTCACTAATTTGGGTCCCTTTCTTGGACAAGCTCATTCTTTGCTTAAAAAAAGTAAAAAGTAGATTCTATGTATATAAAGGAAACTGATGCAGAAGATATAAGCTTGAGTTTTACTAAACTCTAACCGAAACCTGCAAAATCATTCATCATATCACAATATTAATTGGTCAAATATAGAAGAGAATCTTAAATTAAATTGAAGACAAATCCTGAGCAGAAAATAACTCAATAACCAAATATAGAATGCAATTAACACCAGAAAATGTCGCTCTTCATAGAAACTTCTATGTTAATAATTTCCATGAACATAATGAAGATGAAGCATCGTGATGGACTAAAATCAAAGAAATATTAACCATGTTTGATTCTTATGCGTGCAAAATCCATTGCTTTAAATGAAACAGAGTGCTATGATTAATTAACTGAATGAAACTCACAGCCTCCTAACTTTAACAATTAAGCCTAGAGACTATAAGTTAATAGCAAGATATTCATTTAATAAACCAAAATTACTCCAATATACAGTTCAAAACCTTGAAATTCCCCAGTCAACAAGACTTAAACCTGAAGAGAAAAGGAAAGGACAAAATGTTCAAGTAAAAATTAAACAGTAAGCTCATTTAATTAAAAACCCTAATCAACAAAAAAGAAATAAGCTTTCTAGGCATATAGCTAAACGAACAATTAAAACGAAAGGGCAGTATAAGTCAAATCTATGCTCTTTCCTTATCTAAGGCACGAAGTTCTTGAGATCTCAAGTCAAAACCAACACACAAAAAAAAAGACAAAAAAGGAAATAAAAAGGGGAAAATTAGTAATAAACATAACGAAGAAAGAAAATTTTAAAAATCAAGAGATCCGAGAAATTATACCTTTGCGAAACAAATCAAAAGGCCTCATATCTAAATATATCAGATGAAAAGGGGGAAACGAGAAGGAGATCGAAGGGAAGGGATAAACAAAGTAGGTCAAATTCCCGATAATTTTTGTTTAATTGGGATTTGAGCTTTGGTTATTTTTTTTCATTGGATGCAGTCTTATTATCTCAGCTTTTTGTTTCACTCACAACAACGGTTTCTCTGTTTCTTTTCTCTCTCTCTCTTTTCTCTTCTAGTTTTCAATTTTTTTTTAAACTGCGCAAATGATAAATAATATTTAAGGAAGCTTTTGTTTTATACACTGAAATTTAAAAAGTAATAATTATTTATTAATATTATTAATTTATAATAAATCAGTCACTCATCATTTACTATCGTTATTACAATAACATAATACTAACGTGGTGTGTTAAATTAATTGATTGAGCACGTTTGACTACTATTCTTCTTCTTTTTAGAAAGAGCATGAAACTTCATGAAGAAACAACTCAAACAAAAGCTTCCTAAATTGTTTACCTCGGTAAGGTATTGTTGTTATTGCTTGAGATTTCGGGTTAGAACACTAGAAATACTAGAGGTGTGAGAATTCAATAACAAATAGTTAAAAGTTATCTTTGAACGAATATTATCTTATATTTATCTAAGATTAATAAAAATAAAAATTGTAACAACTTTTACCTCTCGTTCCTCTTGTCTCCTTTTCATATTGATACTATGCATCTTTTTCTCTTCCTCCCAAATCTCATATGAAAATGAATTATTCGTAGCAAATTAACGGTCCTAATTTCTTTCTTTGAGAACGTTTTCACTGCTCCTCTAACTCATTTAAAAATTTGGAACTCCTTTCTTCGAGTGTAGAATTCTGAAGATCCAGAAATAGGTCCCACTGCAATTCTTCTTTCAACTTTGAAGGAAATTCTATGACAGCCTTAGGAGGTGCAACTTCTGATGGAAGCTTCAGAATATTTTCCAGAGCAAGGCGTATCCTTCAATAGTTTCCCTAACCGTCATGTTTTTAACAGTTCTCTTAATTGAAGCAACATTCAGTGCCAATGGTGTCAATTTTCCTTTTAATATCATTTGCAGTATGATCAGTGTCAGAACACTAATATTCACCTTAGGGGAAAGATATTCGTACACCCTGTTATCGACCTAATTGTTACTACCAACACAAAGTCGGTAATATGCCAAATGAACCGGAATATGGATGAACATGAAAGAGCATAGACATATTTCCTTATATTGGAGAGATTTGGTGCTACGATTGGTTTCCCATGGGACATGGCTTTTATCAAACTTTCTGGAAATGATGGCTCTTCAAGGAACGAGTCATATATCACAAGGTCTGTCGCGCTAAGAGAAATATATATCACACTGTCAACCTCACCATCAACAGCTACATGCTTCACCACCCCACTGGGATATCTTAATTTATGAGCAATTTTCTAGGGAAAAGAGAAATATATGTGAAATGGATCGAGAGAAGCTCGAAAACTACATATGCACAACATAAGTATAAAATGATTATGACCATACCTCAACAGCCATGCATGCTGTAGTTGCTTGTTGAATCACCGGTTAAGACGATGATTTTGGGGAGGGAACTCGAATTATTATCAGATGAAAAGTCGGCAAAAGTGGTAATAAAGCATGCAAAATAAGTGCATGTTCCAACCACACGCCTCTGTACATAAATTGACTTCCAACAATTGCTATAAGGAATTCATCAAGTCCATAACCCATACTCTTATGCTGATTATCTCTGTACAAATCATCTGTAGAAGGAAGAGCATTAGGAAGCAATGTCCTTTCGCCAACTTTAGTAAGTAATATGCTGACAAAGAATTGAGGACTATATGATTATCCAATAACTATTACCGTAAGAGCATAGTTTGGGAAGACAACAACAGTAGCACGATTGAAAGTCTTTTTCCAATCATTCACAAGCTCAATATGCCCGATCAATGTGTCTAGTATCAAACGAACAACAAGAGCTCTTTCATGGATGGTCCATATAAGTGGAAAAGATTTAAAAGGTTATTGCATAAAACTATAACAAGTAAACTCATTCACATTAATTGAATCAGACAAGTAACATTTCCAGTCAAATCTTTAAATTGTCGCAGTAAAAGGATCAAACAAAGCATATTTATATCTTCGGCAGATGCTGAAGTATTCTTAAACTTCTGAAAGCAATAGGTAAAAGGTGTTTCCAAATAAAAAATAAAATAAAAATGAAAGTATTTTATCATAACAGCAGGCAAAATTCAAACTTGTGCTTGGAAACAAGTGCAGTTTGTTTGCAGCTACAACAAAAAGGTCTTCTTCACCGGAAAAACTACTACAGGGAAGATAGGAAAGAATGAAACAGCGAAAAGGGAATTCATGAGAAATATTAAGACAGAATAAGAAGAAGAAGAAGAAGAGTTAAATAGTCGGTCAAACATGCTGAGTCAGCTGATTTAACGTGCCACGTTAGCATTCTATTACTGCAGTAACGACTATTAATGGCGAGTGACCGATTTATTATAAATCGATAACAGTAGTGACTAGTTTGTTACTTTTAAAACTTTAATGAGAAAAACTAAAACGTACTCAAACATTAGTGACCATTTATATAATTTACACTTTTTTCCTTTGAAAAAAGCTTTAGCAGCTGCCCACCACCACAAAAATATATATATAATAAATAAAACAACACATCTAATTTCAATCCACTCGATTTGACCTTTTTTTCATTTTTTTCTCTTTTGGTCTAATTGTGAACCTCACTCCTCTAATTTATTAAAATTGAAGAGTTGGTCCCTGTAAAAAAATTGACGAGTTAATATTTTGTTTAAATTTACGATTCTCATACTTTAAGAAAAATTATAAAGTTAGTCTAATTGGAATTTATAATCTATTAAATCATATACAATTAAAATTTTTAAAAAGTAACGACCGCCTCAATTCCCCTATCAATCCTTTAATTTGCTCATAAAATAAAATTTCTAATAAATAATTTAATGCTGTTGTAACAAATAAATAATTCATCACATGAGAGTTGGGATTTTAGAATAAATGAACATTCACGTTACTTTCTCTTTTATTCTGGATAGGAATATGAGCTCACAATGCAATATTATAATTTGGTTTATTTCTCAACGTATGACCATATCTTGCTATTATATCACCATTTTGGACATTTTGCCAGTTGTAGCCACGAGGGACGATGCAAGAGTTATTTATAATATTTTTTATAATTCGATTAACTTTAGATAATTATCATTTAAATCACACAAAAGCGTTTTACACGTGTAAATAAAAAATAGCTTTTTTCATTAACTAGGTTTTCTCTGTCAATGATAAAATAATTGTTATTATTTCTTGAAGTTTTAGATTATAATTTTATATTAAGAGTTATACGAATCATTTTGTATAAAAATTACTATTATTCCTTGGAATCTCCCGTGATAAAATTAAATTTAACATTTAAGTTAGATTCTTAATATAATTTTTATAAAAAACTCGTTTTAATTGAATGACTAGTTATAGTTTTTATAGCAAGATGATCAAATTGAAAAATACTCTATAATTGAATAATTAATTTATTATATTAGATATTTAATTAAATCTATAGGAACGTTTGTATAACATGGTCCCATCCTATGGACCCTAGGCTTGAAATGTACACTGAACGAGCCTTGTTTGGGTGATAGGGAACATAAACCAAATATGGTTGAGGAGATAATGAAAGTTCTCTTTTCTGATCCCAGGCAATTAACATCATGCATGTCGTAATTTGTATTTGTACTGAATTTCTTCTTCTTATTTTTTCATTTATTACAATTGTGTGTATATACTATATGCACTAATGGTAGTTAAATTTAATTATCAGCTGTCTTACAAGTGTTATTTGTATTACCTAAAAAAGCAGTAATCTGCTGCAAATTTACTACAGCTACACTAGCAGCTTATTATAAAATTAACAGCCATACTCACCGGGACAGATCAAAAAATTTAAGAATAAGATTTAAAATTTTAATATTCTTTTTTAATAATGGATACATAATTTTTTCTTTTTTTAATATATTAAATTATATTTAACTATTTTTAAAAATAATGAAATACACTTATCTCTAACGGCCCTGACTAATTACAAACAAGTCCCTAAAAAATATAGGCAGGACCAGATCTATTGTCATCTCTGCCCAAAGCTTGATCAAAGGCCCAAAAATTAACAAAAACCCCACATCAGTTTCGTTCCCAACCCGGTCGTTTCCAGGTCATTAAAAAACAACTCTAAAATCTTTAATTTTCTAAATAAGAAAAAATTAAACTCCCCTTTGCACCATCGCCTTTCGACCTACACCAATAAAAAAAAGATGATATCAGTGGTTGAATGCGATGGTAATATATGAGATTAGGAGATTTGTGGATAAGGATCTTAGGAGTGTTTGATAGTTTAGGGATTTTAGAGACTTTTTTAAATGAGAAATTATAACTTTAATGAATAAAAGAAATTAAAAAAATCATGTCATATAACATATATTCACTGGATAATAGATTTGTCTTGACAAACATCGATGATTAAATCTTAAAATAATAATAAAATGAAATACTAAACACTTTGATAAAAATTAAAAATATATAATATAAACACTTATTTTTCAATTAAATTATTTAATAACATTGGAAATAATGAATCATCATATTAATATCCAACTAAACCACTTTTACATTTTCAGCACTTATGTACCTCCACATGATTATTGCACACTTTATCATTCTTCATGATGATGTGGCCGAATGTATCATCCACCTTAAATTCATCAATAGTAAAAGGACACTACTGATTTATGTGATTAAAAGAATATATGCGATGAAAACAAGTACATATTTTTTCAACAAAATGCATATGAATATATTAACGTTCTTAGTTAGCATTGTGGTGCAACTAGAAGCAAATTAACCCACCATCATTACCCCTCTTGCATGATACTGACAAGCGTGCATGTACGTATATATTCTGGTATTAATATTCAACCTCTTTAATTATCAGTGATAATAGATAGGGATAGATGCACGTCTTTATTAGAGTCGGCATGTTCTTATCTTAAGATTTAAATTTTCTCTAATTAATTATTTATTTTATTAATTATGTTAATTTTAAAATTTTATTTATTTTTATCTTATATAAAAATTTTATATGAATAATACATATATGCTTGTTATAGTAGTAGAGATACCCCAATCCAACACTGTCTGCGGCACTGGGACGACTGGCGACTGAAATTGTTGAGTATGAGCATAGGTAATTCACAATAAAAGACAAGGTCAACATGATCTATCAAATCACAAATACAATAAACCTGACAAAGGCAATTCACAGCTCCAATATAGATCAACAGGGTACGTCAGGACGCAAGCATGCAACATACATCAACAGTTTCAGTTATAGCAGCTAAAGCAAATAAACCCACTATATTGGTTACTCGTTGTATGTTGTTAATCGTCATTCGTGTATGATGTATTGGTTTTTGTCTTACACGTGGCCATGTGCTTCAGTGCCATGGTCTCATTAAGTTTGTAGATTCTCGTGAAATGTCATGGATTTGGTTAGTAATTTGCAGTCTTAAATCTGGGCGGGGGAATTTAATCACTTATGATTTGCTATAGTCTATATTTCTACTTTTTTGGAATGTTTCGTATGAGTTTGTTCATAACCTGATTTATGGCTCTTGAATCCATGTTTCCAGGAGTAGAATATTCTTGTGATTTTACCTTGCTAGAAAGTTTATGGAGTTGGTTTAAGCAATTTCATGGTTTCTTACTTAAGGATCTCTTGTAGGGGATACGACTGTAATCCTTATCGGCTTACATACAATATCAGCAAATACTTCAGCAGGCAAGGGCTCGTAAAATGCCTTTCAGTGCTTAATTTACACATCTTCTATGCTGAGTATTGTTCTAGAGAAGACGGGTTTATTATGCAGCAAACATCGTAGTTACAATGAAGCTGATACCGAGGAGAATGCACAGGTAAACACAGTGTACATAGACGGTCTATCATCCTTTTATGGAGTCCAGCCAGACAAACTCTTCATTCATTTCAGTTTCAGTTTAATTTTAAGTTTGTTCATTTTCAGGCTGCAGAAATTGAAAGGAGAATTGAACAAGAGAGAGAGGCTGAAAAGCATATCCAAAAGCTTCTACTACTTGGTGCGTACAACTTAGATTACATTCCTTGTTGCCTTGTTTGCAATAACGAGCTATTTACTCATAATATGACTGTTAATCTCTTTTCTATGAAGATATCAATCGATATGGATCGCTTATGATTCCTATTGAGCGCAAAAAAAAAAATCACCATCCTGTTTGTTTATGGAAATGTTTATGTTTAGGGACGGTTCTTATGGACTTGATATGCAAATCAGTCTTATCACATAATCTTTCGATGGCTGCATTCCATTACTTTCATTTATTTTCACCCGGGACATGAAGTTGCAATACTTACCATAGAATTGCCGTAGGTTAGGCAGATGGGCATTAGGTGCTTAAAGTACTCACTATCCCATAATAATTGAGATAAGAAGTTGAACACCCTAAAACGTTCATGCTGATTTGCTGCACTGTTTTTTTAAATGTTCTTTCAGTATCTTCCCCTTCACTTTTCTGGGTCGCCCCATTAATGATTGAAATTTTCGTTGTTTTTAAGGTGCTGGTGAATCTGGGAAGTCAACAATTTTTAAGCAGGTTAGACCTATTGGTTGACCCTTTATTGAGTCTATTTCATAATTTTTTAATCATCTTTTTATTCTACATGGCTTGTCTGGAGATAAAGCTTCTGTTTCAGACTGGTTTTGATGAGGAAGAACTAAAAAGCTATATCTCAGTCATCCAGGCAAACATATATCAGACTATAAAAGTATGCAAAACCTGAAAAGGGTGTGTTGGTTTATTTCCCTTCAGGTGTCAGTTATCTATGATGCGAAATTTTATTTCTATTATGAGAGGATCTTTATCTATGTTTTTAAATCGTGCTTTGCATGGTGTATAGATACTGTATGATGGATCAAAGGAAGTTGCCCAAAATGAAGCAGATTCTTCCAAATATGTTCTATCCAGCGAGAATAAGGTTTGAAGTCATCTATTTCTGCTATCCTGTATTTGTAAAGTTTAGTAATTGCTTTCCAATTAGTTTCTCCTCTTCTTTCTTTTTGAAATTATCAGTTATTGCATCTGTGGTCAAGATATTACATAAACTTTCTGTTTTCTATCAGGTTATTGGAGAGAAACTGTCAGAAATTGGAAGCAGGTTGGACTGTCCACGTCTAAATGGAGAACTTGCACAGGAGATAGAAACTCTCTGGAAAGATTCTGCAATTCAGGCAAACTATGCTTTTATATATAAATGATATAAGCTGATTTTGTAGCTCCATCGCTTAGTTTTGTGTTTAGGTATTTTCGATGGTGTGTTTTAGTACTTAATCACTCTGTGTACTAGTAGGAAACCTATACTCGTGGAAATGAACTTCAAGTACCAGATTGTACTCATTATTTCATGGAAAATTTGCAAAGATTGTCAGATGCAAATTATATTCCAACAAAGGTATCTAGAATTAGTGCCACGCATATGTCCTGCCCATCAAAACAATCATCATACATATGATTAATACCCAAAATGAGAGGATCTTTATCTATGTCCATAAATATGTCCACGCATATTTCCCTTCAGGTGTCAGTTATCTATGATGCGAAATTTTATTTCTATTATGAGAGGATCTTTATCTATGTTTTTAAATCGTGCTTTGCATGGTGTATAGATACTGTATGATGGATCAAAGGAAGTTGCCCAAAATGAAGCAGATTCTTCCAAATATGTTCTATCCAGCGAGAATAAGGTTTGAAGTCATCTATTTCTGCTATCCTGTATTTGTAAAGTTTAGTAATTGCTTTCCAATTAGTTTCTCCTCTTCTTTCTTTTTGAAATTATCAGTTATTGCATCTGTGGTCAAGATATTACATAAACTTTCTGTTTTCTATCAGGTTATTGGAGAGAAACTGTCAGAAATTGGAAGCAGGTTGGACTGTCCACGTCTAAATGGAGAACTTGCACAGGAGATAGAAACTCTCTGGAAAGATTCTGCAATTCAGGCAAACTATGCTTTTATATATAAATGATATAAGCTGATTTTGTAGCTCCATCGCTTAGTTTTGTGTTTAGGTATTTTCGATGGTGTGTTTTAGTACTTAATCACTCTGTGTACTAGTAGGAAACCTATACTCGTGGAAATGAACTTCAAGTACCAGATTGTACTCATTATTTCATGGAAAATTTGCAAAGATTGTCAGATGCAAATTATATTCCAACAAAGGTATCTAGAATTAGTGCCACGCATATGTCCTGCCCATCAAAACAATCATCATACATATGATTAATACCCAAAATGAGAGGATCTTTATCTATGTCCATAAATATGTCCACGCATATTTCCCTTCAGGTGTCAGTTATCTATGATGCGAAATTTTATTTCTATTATGAGAGGATCTTTATCTATGTTTTTAAATCGTGCTTTGCATGGTGTATAGATACTGTATGGGATCAAGGAAGTTGCCCAAAATGAAGCAGATTCTTCCAAATATGTTCTATCCAGCGAGAATAAGGTTTGAAGTCATCTATTTCTGCTATCCTGTATTTGTAAAGTTTAGTAATTGCTTTCCAATTAGTTTCTCCTCTTCTTTCTTTTTGAAATTATCAGTTATTGCATCTGTGGTCAAGATATTACATAAACTTTCTGTTTTCTATCAGGTTATTGGAGAGAAACTGTCAGAAATTGGAAGCAGGTTGGACTGTCCACGTCTAAATGGAGAACTTGCACAGGAGATAGAAACTCTCTGGAAAGATTCTGCAATTCAGGCAAACTATGCTTTTATATATAAATGATATAAGCTGATTTTGTAGCTCCATCGCTTAGTTTTGTGTTTAGGTATTTTCGATGGTGTGTTTTAGTACTTAATCACTCTGTGTACTTGTAGGAAACCTATACTCGTGGTAATGAACTTCAAGTACCAGATTGTACTCATTATTTCATGGAAAATTTGCAAAGATTGTCGGATGCAAATTATATTCCAACAAAGGTATCTAGAATTAGTGCCACGCATATGTCCTGCCCATCAAAACAATCATCATACATATGATTAATACCCTCCTCCAGAGCATGCATGATAAATGAAACCTTGAAAACAGAACTTCTTTAACGTTCAAGCTGTTGGTGGCATTGCATTATAACTTATCTTCTAAAGATATTTTCTCTAAATCAGTTTCTTAATCTGGCTCATATTGCAGGAGGATGTTCTATATGCAAGAGTTCGTACAACTGGTATTGTTGAAATCCAGTTCAGGTGAATTATATTTAGTCTTTACTTTGCTTATGCAAGTTCATTGATGTGAGAATTAACTTTAGCCAAATAAAGAATCATGTTTTTGCCTTCTCAAAATGTGATTGAGTTCAGATTTATATGCTTATATAGATAAATTAAAATGGGTACTCAATTATGGTTACAATGGAGATGCGGCATAGGTTCCTGTGTCTGGCATTTTGTAGGATATTTTGATTACTAATTTGAGTCGTCTATGGTGTCTGTTTTGCAGCTCCGTGGGGGAGAATAAGAAAAGTGGTGAAGTATACAGACTCTTTGATGTGGGAGGCCAGAGAAATGAGAGAAGGAAGTGGATCCATCTTTTTGAAGGTGTTACAGCTGTGATCTTTTGTGCTGAGATTAGCGAGTAAGATCCTTTTTACTTTTGCCATCTCTAAATTCTGTTTTGTCTGTATACGTAACGATACCTAGCTGTTTCTACATCAGAGCTGGTATAAAATGCAGAAATGTTAACTGAGAAATTGTCACGGTTTTAGGTACGATCAAACACTTTTCAAGGATGAACAGAAGAACCAGATGATGGAGACCAAAGAACTCTTTGATTGGGTCTTAAAGCAGCCATGCTTTGAGGTTTAGGCTGTATATGCTCCTTGTGTATCTAATAATCAAGTATTGCTCATAGCTGGAATTTTGCTTAATCTAAAACCTGGTTCTTTTCTGCAGAAAACATCCTTCATGCTGTTTCTCAACAAATTCGACATATTTGAAAAGAAGGTTCTAAAGGTAAAGGCCAGTAGAATGGTATAACTTTTAGGATACTTGTGTTTTAGTATCAGTGTGGTCTTTGATGCCCAACATTATGTAGGTTCCACTAAATGTATGCCAGTGGTTCAAAGACTACCAGTCGGTTTCAACTGGAAAACAAGAGATCGAGCATGCATACGAGTAAGCAATTTCTTCTAATTCCCATCATAAGTCCTTAAGAAGAAGGATTTTTCATCCTAAGACTGTTTATGATTCTCTATCTGTTCAGGTTCGTAAAGAAGAAATTTGAGGAGTTATATTTTCAAAGCTCCGGCCCTGATCGAGTGGATCGAGTCTTTAAAATCTACAGGACCAGTGCACTTGACCAGAAGCTTGTGAAGAAAACTTTCAAGCTCGTTGACGAGTCCTTGAGACGGAGAAATCTATTCGAGGCAGGGTGGTTGTGAATGATTGCAAAGAAAAGCAAAAGCCATTTGGAAAGACTTGATAATTTGCAGCGATGTGATCCACCATTTTGGATGTCTTTAAGGTTGGAGGAAACACACATCTTTTGAAATGCAGGCATATTTTCATCACAGGCTAAAGTTTCGATTTCCCCATAGTGTTGATCATATATATATTTGTTTCGAGGATATTGGATCAGCGACTTGCGACGGGGAAAAGGAAGATGTGACGCTGATTTGCTTCCACACGTGGTCTTATTTAATTATAAAAACTATAGTAAATTACGTATTTAATATTTAAACTATTAATCTTATTATGTTTGATATTTAAATTTTATTATTTTTATATATTACATTTAGTTTAAATTTTATTTTGATATCTTATTAAAAATTTAATGGTAATATTAATTTATCATTGTACAATAATGCCACGTTATTTTTGAAAAAAAATAAAAAAGATCAAATTAACAATTTTATTAATTTTTTAAAGATGAGATATTAAATTGAATCTTAAGCTAAAAGTTAGATATAGTTTTTTTTTAAAAGTAAAGTTTGAATAGTAAAATAGAATAAAAGTAATAGTTTAGGTGCTAAACATGTAGTTTACCCTAATAATTATATACTATCATACTAAACATCTTGGGCTCGGCCCCACTTACCCAACCCTATACGCCGATACTACAAAACCTTTAGGCCCATTCAAGCTTCAAGCGGACTCCTCGGGTCAACTCTTATTTTCAGTGTTTAATTACAAATATTTGTTTCTAAAAAAAAAGCTGATGTCTTAATAAAATCTGAATCTTTTTGCTTAAATTTCCAATTTTCAATAAAAAAAAACTCTCACTATTTTGTATATAGCCGAGCGGATCCATTGCAAAGCTATATGAGCTTTTGAGTCAAATATTCATTTTTTTTATTGAAAAAAAAGGTTACCTAGACAAACCCAAAGAACAATGAAAGTGCCAGCTGCCACGTCATACATATATCCATGTTCGTGGAGAGGCAGACAGTTTTGTAAACATGGTATTGATCCAAAACCCTGGTTCACTTGACACGCTAATGACCAAGGATTATTATCATTAATAAAAGCATAGAAGCTTAATGCTTCCAGATTTGAATCCAAAATGTAAGAGGTGAAGGAGGAAGATGATTGTCGTTCATCGTCTACCACGACGTCGTCTTGGGTCGGGATGAATAGTGATGATGTGTCTGGACGTTCCTCCTACGAAGATGAAGTTCAAAGCTCCTTTAATGGTGGCTTGGACACCATGGATTCGCTCCAACGGGTTTTGCCTGTCAGGTTAGTTCGTATCTCCGCTTAGCTCTACTATACAACCATTTTCTTTTTTTTTAAAATTCATCAAATTAATGTAAACAGAAGTTGGGTTTTTTTTTTTCGAACAGGAGAGGCATCTCGAGTTTTTACAATGGCAAATCCAAGTCTTTCACAAATTTGGCTGAAGCTACATCGATTTCAACAGTTAAAGAGATTGCAAAACCCGAAACCGCCTACGCACGGAGGAGGCGAAACCTATTGGCAATGAACCATGCATGGAACAAGAAGTTAAAAAGATCAAGCAAAAGTACATTGCCCTTGCTAGCAGTTGCCATGAGCGCTACCACAAGTGACGACTCTGCTTCCAACTTCATGCCCTCAACTTCTTCCTCCTTTGCACCCAACCTTAAACCACAACCTTTTTTCAATATTATAGCACCCCATCCACGTTGTGGGCTGATGTACGGGACTGTACCACTTGTGGGCAGCACTCATCCACGTTGATCTTTAGTTGAGGATTAAACCAGCTATAGGAAGCAATCTTGAAGAGAAAAAAATTGTAAATTTTACAGATTTTGTATACTCAAAACGGGAATCAGGCTTATGGCTTTTTTTTTTTTGCCAATTTGTAGCAGTTTTTTCCTTAATGCATGTGCATAAATCATCTGTTTTTACCTTAAATTAAACGTTTTTATCAGTATCTACCAAGATAAACTCTGAATTCACTTAAAAAGCACTATGTTCATGATTTAATTATGTCCAAAACTAGATGGGTGCTCAGGAACAGTAATGGCAATTCTATGTACAATCTAAACGTTCTTTATACAAGCATAAGAATACAACATGAAAGCATTTTTACAGTTAAAACCAAATGTGAATGAAGGATGAAAAAGGAGAGGACAAGCTTCACAGGTAAAAAATACAAGAAGCATCCTTCTCAATTCAAAAACATACAAATGGCCTATCCCTAAACAATGCCAATATTGTGGTTACCTACGTCCTACCACTACCCATTGCGGATGCCACCAAGAGAGATGGCAGTTTATAGATGCAATTTCACAAGTATATAGATTCTTTGCAGCGCAAATCTTTTATCTTCGATGCATTAACTTTCAACACCAGCTATGCTGTGGGTTCAAATAACTGCATCCGAATCATGCTGCGGGCTTACTTTTGATTCTGAGTTAGAAACTGTGCACACGAATATTCCAATAAGAATCCAGGGAGTTCAATGGCCGAGGGGTCTATTGCTGGTATTGCAATATCTATATCTTCAGTTGAGAATGGAATGCTGTAATCAGAAAATGGTTCGATTTCAGTAACAAGCCTATACATACAAAACATGGATTGACGTATAATAACACCAAGAGGATTTTGGCAGAGGAGAAAATACTTTCAAAAGGCAAACTGTATCTTCACTCTGGTAAAATTCAGACATAAATTTGACAGAAAACACATTACCTGAGATCATCGTCCAGCAAGAATGAGTTTGAGGCCAGATATTGGCTGTCCTTGTTCAACATCTCCCTCATTTCAGCAACAACCTAGAGATAGATAATGTCAGAAACCCAAGCGACACTATAAAACACAAATTTGCCAGAAACCGAGTCTATAACTCACCTCATTTGACACACTTTGGGTACCATATTTGTCATCCCAGTACATGGTACTTATTCGGTAAATTTGCCTAATAGTCAACGCCTGTACAAGTTCCACAACACAAGGAATGATTATTAACCTCCAAAAGGGGAAATGAGATATGGGACTCATACGAGCATTAGCTTACCGGACATAAATCATTACTTATCTCAGCCAAAGATTTTTTTCTCTTTTGATGTATGACCTAAATAAATGTAGAACAAAAAAGTGAACAGACTTAATAGGCCAGATGTATAAATATGTATGTATGAAGCTTGGACACTAACCAAAAAGCCAACAGCTTGTCTAATATAGTTTAGCTCATGCCAAGAGGTTCCTGCAAACTGTATATTCCAATATTTCAGAATAAAAGACTATTGCATCCAATTAGTACAATAATTCGCTGAAGAATGTTATTTACCTCCTCCTTTGCATTGACTATCCATTTCTCTAGTTCTGCTAGGCCAGATTTAACATATTCTCCATTTGAGAACGAGCAACATTCTCGTCGAAGTAAAAGACTGGATAAAATTTCATCTTAATAGTTTGATCATTCAACCAATTGATTCTAAAGATAATTTTAAATACTAATGAACTCATACCTGTTGAAAAGAGACATATTGATGAAGGAGAAAACCTGAGTTATTAGCTTACGAATGAAGAAAGAGGGTACCTACATGCACAGGGACTGAGTCAGAAAGGTCATTGAAGAAACCAAAAGCTGGGATGAATTTTGACATTACTGCTCTAAATAATTTTGTAAGACAAACCATTTTTAATTAGTTGATAAAGATATTATTCAATTCTCCCATCAAGAATTGTGCGCATTTGATGACCTTATCAACTAAGGTTTAACAATCATTTGCAAACTAGTAATTCTTGTATCTAGAAGAGAAACACCTTGCTTCAAACTATTACACGTACATGATTTTCACGTAACCGATCCATAAGGGAATCCAAGAATTTGATGATGCTATCCCATTGACTACTAGGTGACTGTTGGGTAAGCCCTCCAGGAGATCTTGATTTCCCAGCAAGCATTCGTGCATTTTTTGGCACCTTCAAAATCAACAAAAATTATCCAGCAATTACAATTTTAAGTTTCCAACCGTCTGGTGCTTTCTCACAAGGATCCAAACAAATATACCTTATTTTAAGAAAACAAATAAATAAAAGAATTGCATATACATGAAAACATATATGAAAAATATTGATCAAATCACAATTAGACAATGAATGCCATTATCTCAAGTAGCTTTCTACAGTAGCAAACAATTTAATAGTGAGCTAAGCATTTGAACTGCACAGCACAAACAGATGATTGAAACATAACACAAACACAGCAAAATAATAATCAAAACTGATCTTGGGGCCAGGTAAGTCATAATTTTGATATTTGGGTTTAGCTTCCAGATCTGCAAAACATATTAGCATCTAACATTCAATACAAACCTGAATGCAGAGTCCCAAAAGCGGAGATAACTCTTTCTTAATGTTGTCACGAATCAAGCCAAAAATCTTCTCAACACAGGCTGTCAGTTGTTGTTTGAATAGTATTGCTGGATATCTCGCGTCTATATGTGACATACCATCTTCAAACCCGAGGTATTTGAAAGGGGATTTTAGACCCTAGAGGTGTCAAAAACAAAAATCAGCTTAACAAAGTTGTTCAATGGCACGATAAAGTGAAAAAGAATGGAACATGACTACAAGCCTAATACAGCAGTGATAACTATTATTAGAAGTAAAGGTGTCTGCTTCAGTCATATGATAACAATAACAAAATAAACAAAACTCGGGATATATTTTAGCAGGCAATGCATTAAAAAAAATTAAAAATGGAAATAAGAATTCTACTAAATATAACAAAATTACAACCCAAAAAGGTCATTTCAAAATATTGCAACAGAACTCACATAGGAAACCCTTCCAGCTAAACCAGTATTTCCTCCAGAACGTTGAGTTGCAACAGAAAGAAAGCCATTTGATCGTAAATTTTTTTGCAGGAGACACAAAAGTGCTGAGGTGTTGGACAGCCAATAAGGTAAGGTTGCATTTTCAGGCCCAACCTGCAGAAATGTCAAAGATTGAATACATAAAACATTCACAAAAGGCTAAAATGTTATTCAAAATATTATGGGATTGATTGAGAAAAGGAAAGAAATATGATTCAAATATTATTATCAGTATCTATTACAAATTACGGCCTTCCAATTTCATGAAAGTTTGTGATGATGTACTACAAGTACCTTCAGAACATCGTTGATTCCTTCTATTATGTAGTCAAATATAGCAGTCCGTTCAGACTCGAAGGAATGCCAATGATGAAGACATTTGTATATGATACAAGCAGCCAGCGGTTTACCATTCTGAAACCCCAAATTTTCTTTGATACATCTTGAAAGAAATTCATAATTTTCCTGTGCAAACAGATTCTTATATTTTAAGTCATCCAATGCAAAACTATCAAAAGATCTCATTGTGAATCAAAAGAATAAACTTAAATGATATTCATATAAACAAGAAACCTGTTGTCTCTCTGCTGTTAGTTTAGGCCTTCTTGATTCTGACATGCTATGTGAGAAAGGTACAATAAGTTTTGAAGGTGTGGGAGATTCCTGCAGAAGAGACAATAATCAGGAAAGCTTAAAACTTACACAACAGTCGGAGCTAAAACTAGTCAAATGCAGCAATAATTTTCTAATGGAGAAACGAGAAATTGTGTGTGTGTGTTGGGGGGGGGGTCAAGAAGTCTTACATATGCTTGCTTCCGGTCAGTCTGAGGAAGACTAAGTGTACTACCATATTTCTGGTTCATTAAGAAGAAAAAAAAAAGCAAATTTAAAGGAAAAATAATTTAAGAGAGAAGAAGAAAAAGGATGTAAGGAAATATAAGCCATCTAAGAAAAAAAAACATGCACTTACTTCTGAAAATGACTTTAGAAAGCTAGCACGGTTGCTCTTCGGGGACGGAGTCAATGCTTTTTGACGTAGAACAAGATTTTCATCTTCTAAATGGGAGAGCTTCTCCTCCAGACTTGTTAAAAACCAGAAAACAAAATGAATGAGGAAGTAAAATTAATTAATGTGCAAACCAAATTAGTATATCCACTTCAGAATAGATGACAAGACAACAAAATAATTCAATGTAAAAAGCAGTCAGTGGAAGACTAAATCATAGCAGAATAAAATCCAATGTCACCATAGCAAACAAATAAGTAAAACAAACAGTATGCAAAGCATAGAATATGCATGCATCTATTTAAGTCTAGATCACAGTTTCAAGTTATGAAAGATACCTTTTCATGTTATTCTGGAGCTCAGAATTGTTTTGTTTCAATTCCTGCAATTTTTCAATCGTATCATTGGCATCTTGTACAGCCTTCTTGAGCTCAAGCTCCAGGGAAGAATTCTTCTTTTCCAAGGTATCCAAAGAACTCTGAAAAGTAAACAGAAGTCAAAGGAAAGTCCTTATTAATAACAAAACAGATGAAAATTATACAGAAAACATATTCTAAATTCAATTTCTAAGAAAAGGTTTAAATCAGAAAAAAGTAAACAACGTTCCAAAGTGGAAAGTAAGTAGTTTTCTTAGACTAATCATAAAAATTGGTAATCAACACCAAAACACAAACCTTAAGTAATGCATTTTCCTTTCTCATTTCAGCCATCATAGTAAGTTCCTTTTCAAAAGAAGACTTTTCTTTTCTTGATAATTCCAATTGATTTTGCAACACTGCATTCTTGTTGCACTCACTAATTGTTGCCAGCTTAGCTGCATCTAACTCAAGCTTCAAAGATTCCAATGCTTTCTGAAGTTTTGAAACTTCAACTGACTTCGTATCTTCATTGGAAACCTGCAGGTTGCCACATTTAAGTAAAAAATGGAACATAGAATAACATAATACTTTTATTAAAAAAAAGAATAGAAGCACTAGAAAACAGATCAGAAACTATAAGTGATACCCGCATTCGTTTTTCTAGATGCAGTCGCCATGTGAGATCTTCTAATTGCTTTTCAAGCTTGTTCTTAGCTAACCGTAAGGCACCTGCTTCATTAGCCTCCTGAAGATTGTATATGGAAAAGTGGTCATGCAATGCAAGGAAGTTCATAATATGTGGAAAGTCTGATGGTGAATTGTGACTGTAATGAATACATAAATCAGAAGATTCCATCTTGTTGCATAGATGGGTCTGATCTTAAATGAATATTTACTTTTCAAGTCAAACTCAAGAAAACAAGGAATTTCTTAGAACTTTCTACAATTCCTTAAATCCTTACATGAGTACAATTGATAAGTATAGAAGAACATTTAATACACAAGGAAAATATAGGACTTTTATAGACTGATTTATAACTCACATATGAAGATTGCTGACCAACCATTTCACTTACTAAATAAATGCCTACAACTTAATGAGACTCGAATAAAGCTTTATGATACTAAAAGCACAATTTTCATCAAACAAGGATTCTCTTTTCTTTAAATATTTTTTCCTGGACCTTGGAGGTAGCACTCGGTAGATTCCACAAAACACATTTAACATGAAGTTTACATTGAAAGAAATCACAAGAATAAGCAGTTCCACATACTTGCTTAAGCCTTCGGAGTTCTCTTTTTGCAACTTTTTGCCTCCAACGACACTGTATTGCAATGATATATTTTTTATAATTATGGAAAGCAGAGCGGAATCTGTACAATCTCCAATGAGCCTGCTCAATGCAAGAAAAAGAAGGCATTAAGAGTCAAATTCCAGCCTGCAGAGGATTTTACCTAAAAACAAGCAACAAAGGTGAAAAAGCTTCACAATAAGCAACTAGACGATAAGCATACAATGAATTTGAGGACAGTAGACAGACATTAATTGTTTATCATACACATGCCCAGAGTGCAACTTCCTAAAACCATGATGAACATAATCACATACATATTGAAAACCACATAATAGCATATGAATGCACAGAAATATGATCAAGTTTTGCTCACCTGGATCACAGTGGCAGCTCGATGCTTCTTTCCATGCAAAAACTTTTGACGAGTTGAAAAGCCACGGATGTTGGACTGTATAAAAACAGCTGCTGAGAATAGTTTCAGATAAGCATGCCTCAATAGCCACCTTCGGGCATATTTCTGTAAACAAACAGCTGCTGCTGCCTCTCTTCTTGCAGAAAACATCTTTCGAGCAAGGCATCCTGCAGAAATCATGATAACTTAGCACTAAAGCAAAGATCAAACATATGAGACAATTGATCTTGTGGAAAGGATAGTTAATGACAAAATACACTTTGTTATCAGAAGGGGCTAAATCATTTTGAGTATTTTGTAATAACAAATTCAATTTAAGATTATGTATTTTAAGTTTTCGTTAGTTAGGTTACTTTGTTTTATTTAGCTTAATGAGGGTTATATTTGGAATCTTCATTTTTAACTAGGGTTTCATGAATTCTCATTATATATTTTGAAAATCGAAGTTATTTTTTTTTTATAAGAATTACAGGCCTCATTTAAATCCCCCTTCTTGACTAAAGGAACTTTTGAGAAAGTTCCTTAATCAGTGAAGGGAGTAAAAGAGTGCCTTAGGATTTTATTTCTGAAGAGAACATAGTACATAAGAAACACCCCACAGACTGACTAAACACCATAAAAAATACAGACCAATTATCACAACCAGTCTGCCCCTATACAATAGCGAAACTACCACATCCCCTACAACCACAATAACCCAAAACCCCACTGAATGACCTCTAAAACTATGATGTGTGATCAGCCAATCCCCTGTTTCGCTAAGGTATCAGCCTCACAATTACAATTTCTCGGAATATGTCTAATAATGATCGCCCTCTCCGAGATTAAGGACGCAATTTTTAGAACCAATAACCTAAGAAAAGGAGGAGAAGAAATCGGTTGTAAGATCCAATCCACCAATGTCTTACAATCACTCTCAATAATTAACCTTCCTTGAGTCACCCATTCCGACGATAGAAAAAATTCAATGCCTTTCTCTATTGCTTTCATCTCCGCAAGTGGAGGAGGACATGGACCAACAGCAAGTGAGAAAGACCCAAGGATTTTGCTTTCCGAGTCCCTTAAAATACCCCCGATTCCCCCCAACAGGCCGTCCCCACTAACCGCCCCATCAACATTAACCTTGAAAAAATGTGGAGGAGGAAGCCACTCCTGAACCTTCACCCTTTTATGGTGGCTTGTCTGGTGCTTGTCTGCAAGCGACGGGTCTCCAACAAGAGCATCAACCTGAATGAAATCATTTGGGTATTTAGCAAGGAACCACTTAACCAACCTAAATCTGCAAATGAAGAAAAGATTAGGTTTGTCCAGTTTCCCATCATCAAAAACCACCGAATTTCTAGCCTTCCATAATGACCAAAGAACTACCCCCGGTATAAAGGACCATATTAATGACTTTGGCCTTAAATCCGACCAGGAACACAACAGAGAGGCTGGATCATTAGGTAAAACTGCCGAAACTCCCCATAACCTCCAGAAACTGCTCCATAACTCCCATGCAACCTGACACGAGATAAACAAATGCTGAACTGTTTCCTCTTGCTTAGCACATAACGGGCAAGCCACCTCCTCCAACATAACACCCCTTTTTATCAGCTCCGATCTGACTGCCAGTCTTCGATGGGAAACCTGCCATAGGAAAGTTTCGACTCTCGGTGGGGCCAAACCTGACCAAACGAATTTCTTCCAAGTGAGACTGCCCCCTGAGTTAGAAGAAAGTGTCAACCTGCAGGCTTTAGCCGTAAACAATCCATGACCCTTTCCCGACCACGCCAAAAAATCATCCACTGATTCCGATAGCCCCACGTTCTCCAATAGTGTCATCAGTCGAATCCAGTGCTCCATCTCCCAGTCACAGATATTCCTTCTCGTTTGAATGTTCCAAATCCACTTATTGCCTATTCTACTCCCAAACTCTGAAACTTTTCCCCACCTATTGTTGGATAGAGCATATATTCTCGGAAATTGACCTTTCAAGGATTCCTCATTTAGCCACACATCATGCCAAAATACAATCGACTTTCCATTACCTACTTGTATCTTCGAGTGAGATCTTAAACCATTTCCAATTGCATCCTCTGCCAAGTAATTTCTTGTAATCCCCTTCCATATCCAAGAATCCGAAGGAGAGATTACCTTGTTAAGGTCTAAAGACATAGTACTCGCATTGTGTATACTGCAAATCATGTTCTTCCATAGTGAGTCTTTCTCATTAGCGAATTTCCATACCCATTTGCCTAGTAGTACTCTGTTAGCAAAATTCAAATCCAAGACTCCCAGTCCACCCTCCTCTATGGAAAGACACACCCTTTTCCAGTTCACCCAGTGAATTCTGCTTTTGGAAGAACCCTCCCCCCACAGAAAGTTTGCCATAATAGAATTTAGTTTCCTATAGACCTTACTCGGAATTCTGAAAATAGAGAGGAAAAAAATTGGCAGGGAGGATAAAAATGATTTGATCAACACTAATCTCCCCGCCATAGAAAGTGAGGAAGCTTTCCATCCGGCTAGTTTCTTGTTAAAACTGTGTATGACTGGCTCCCAAAGGGCCTCTGAGTTCCTTTTTGCACCTACTGGTAACCCTAGATACATTACTGGAAAAACCCCAACAGCACAACCAATCTCCTTCGCCCATTCATTCAATACCTCGCCCTCCACATTGATTCCATACAGACTACTCTTCGACATATTCAAATGGAGACCAGTCATTATGCTAAAAGTTCTCAGGACTCTTTTAATATTGAGGATGTAGGAAGTTGAATCTCGGCAAAACACAATCAAGTCATCCGCAAACTGTAGGTGAGTTAGACTGAGGGCACCCGACCTTCCAAAAGTGAAGCCCTGAAAAAATCCCACATCCGCTGCTTTCCTCAACATACGATTTAACAGCTCCCCCACTAAGTTAAACAATAGAGGAGACAAACTACATCCTTGTCTCAATCCTTTGGCCATCGAGAACTTCTCTGTAGGTGAACCGTTCACTAATACCGATATCAACGCCGTAGAGAGGCAACATTCTATCCAAGAAACCCATCTCTCCCTGAAACCCATGACTCTCAGTAATCTATAAATAATTGGCCATTCAACCGTGTCATAAGCCCTCTGAAAATCAGCTTTGAAAACCACCCCTTTCAGCCCTCGCTTCCGCCAACTATCTATGCTTTCATTTGCAATAAAAGCACAATCTTGTAATTGTCTCCTCGGAATGAATGCAAACTGTGAAGGGCTCACAATATCTTGGATCACCAAAACTAATCTCCTTGCTAAAACCTTGAGCCCTCTGAAAATCAGCTTTGAAAACCACCCCTTTCAGCCCTCGCTTCCGCCAACTATCTATGCTTTCATTTGCAATAAAAGCACAATCTTGTAATTGTCTCCTCGGAATGAATGCAAACTGTGAAGGGCTCACAATATCTTGGATCACCAAAACTAATCTCCTTGCTAAAACCTTGGAGACGATTTTATAGAGACTGCCGACTAGACTTATAGGTCTGTAATCTTCAATACATTCCGGATTGTCTTTCTTTGGAATCAGAGAAATGAACGCATGATTGACTCCATGATCCCATTTTCTTCCAAAGTAAAAGTCCTCCATAAACTTCATAAGATTCCCTTTAATAATTGGCCAAACTTTCTTATAAAACCCCATTGTGAAACCATCAGGGCCTGAGGCTTTAGAGCTATCCGAAGAAAAAATGGCCTCCTTTACTTCCTCTTCTAAAAAAATAACCTCGAGGCCCTTCCTTTGCTCTTCTCTCAATATGTCAAATTCAGGTTCAAGTTGTCTACCTCTAGAAAATCTCTGGAATTATATGCTTTCTTGAAGAACTGAGAGACAGCAACTTTTACGCTTCTGGGTCTGTCAACACTCCCCCTCCACTTTCAATTCCGAAATAGAGTTGAATTGTTTCTGTTAACAGCACATAGGTGGAAGAACCTAGTGTTCTTGTCTCCGTCTTTAATCCATTTCTGTCTCGACAATTGAAACCAAATACTTTCCTCGATTCTAAACAATTTCCATAGCTCATTCTGGGAAGATAGAAGCTGTTCCCAGTCCGAAGAAGATAATCCATGCTTTGTGCCTTAATTTCCAGATCATAAATTTTACTCTCTAACCCAGTAATAGCCTCCGATATCCCCTGTTTACTTCTGATTGGCCCTTCCTTGATACGTTTTTTGGTTCCTTTTAATACATTGAACATTCTGCTTCCCCCTCTATCGTTGGCCTGATCTGACACTACATTTTGAACCATATCTACAAAGCCATCCTCCTCCATCAAATAGTTGAAAAACCGAAATGGTTTCGGTCCCCAATTCTTCCCATCTTCCGCCAATAGAATCGGGTTGTGATCAGAAAGAGATCTAGGGAGAAGTTTCTGAACCACCTTGGGGAAGCAACTTAAGAAGCTGCTGCTCAACAAGAAACGATCCAGCCTAACCCATGTGGTAACCTTTCTATTACTTCCCCATGTGAAGGTATCACCTACCAAAGGGAGGTCAATTAGATTCGACTTTTGTAAAAAATTCCTAAGCAGGCCCATTGAATGCCAGTTTGAGAGGCACCAATCTTCTCCTATTTCGAGATAAGCATTGAAATCTCCCCCAATGCAGAGAGGCAGATCAACCGAATGCACAAAACTCAACAGCTGACTAAAAAACTCCTCCTTTTCTTCCTCAACCGATGGGCCATATACATTGATAAAAACACACTCCGTCTTAGACACCTTGAACCTTCCTTTTAGCATCTGGAATCTACTATGGTTGGCCATGTCAATTACCTCAAAAACATCATCATTCCACAAACACATCAGTCCACCAGCAGACCCATCCGCTGGCTGAATACTTGCTCCCTTTAATAGCTTTCCTCCTAACTTCCTCTTCAATCCCTTCTGACTTTTATTTAGTTTAGTCTCCTGTAAAAACAATATACCGGCTTAATCTTTTTAACAAGTCTCGACACACCTCTAATTTTTTCCTTCCTACCTAATCCCTAACATTCCACGAAATAAGATTGCACTCCATCATATGCATTTCACCGAAACCTGTATGACACAGAAACTGGCTCACTGACCTGCTTCATAAACCACCCCTGCTCCTTCCTCCATCATTCTAATTTTATCCATGAAAGCCTCCCTCCCTTCCTTAAAAGAAATGCCTAAACTCTGACAAACTTCCCAAGTAGACAATGCTTCCTCCAAAACTTTAGAGAAGGACCGAGAATAGACTGTAGACACTTCTGCACTTGCCAAAGCATCTGCAATTAAGCCTCTTCTCTTCTTTCTGTACAATCTTCGACTCTTTGAAATACTAGGCGGGTCTGCCCCCCCTGGTTGGAGAAGAACTGCTCTTCATATGCCCCGTAGAAGTATTCAGAATTTGCCCAGAACCTGTTACCTCCTTGACTTGACCGCTATCCTCTGCCACTGAAGAAAGTTGCTTAAAATTATGAAGAACCAGCCTGTTTTGACTGTGCTTATGGCTATTTTCTGAACATAGCCATACTCTTCTTGTTTTCGACCTTCTGTACACCCTATCAATACGTCCACAACCCCTCACACCTTCAGAATTATTACTAATTGACAATCCTTTCGAAACCTGATATCCCACTCTCCATCTCTTACACCTCTCCCCCATTGGGTTGCTGCCAGCCTTTTTAGATTTACGTTCTTTACCACCCTTAGCCCACTCTTCCAATTCCTTGCTATTTTCCTTCACCTCCTCCCCCATGAAATTATTATTTTCCACATATGTTTGGAAAAGAGTTTGGTCCTGGATAATATTTTCATTCTCCACAGGACAACCTTGGGCTGAAGAAATATACCCACTCTGCTCAGGCCCAATCTCCACATATCTGCCCGTTTTAGGGTAAATCCCCCAGTCTTTAACACCTTTATCTTGCCCCGAGGATTCACCTCCCAAACTACACAACCTTTTTCTCTCAGCAGAGAAGGTTTCTGACACGTTCTTCCTACTTTTAACCTTACCTAGTACTGTCCCCTGCTCAGTCTGGACAGTCCCTGTAATATCATTGACTTCCGCTTTTAAATTCAAATTACCATCAAACAGCGTGTCAACCCCATGAAAGGCTCCTGACATCGGCAGAAAATTCAATTGTCCTTGCAACTCTTCTCTATCATCTCCTATGTTCTCTTCCGAATGAGTTTCTTCCCCCGGGGTCGACTCGTCCTTCCACAGAACCGGCTTCCTCCACTCCATCATCCAGCTCCGGAAAAAACTCATCACATCCTTCCACTTTGATTTTTATAATAAATGATCTGCCATATGTATTAATGACTACCTGGGACGGAATATCAAATGGACTTTCCACTCTTATCAACAATTGAGCCACCCTGCAATCCGTTCTTTGAGCAGTCTGCTCCTGAATCTTTACTAACTTGCCCCATCTCTCTGCCAAGTTAGAGAAGAAGGGAACTGACCAACAGTTCAGAGGGACACCCATCAAAGACACTGCACAGAAAGATAAAGGAACACCCTTCTCCTCCATAACAGGCTCGAGCCTTTCGAACCAAAAAGACAGTGCCTCCCATTTATCCTTCACCGCTGCTGTTTTCTCTTCCATCGACTGAAAGACAATCAGACAGGCATTTTTCGCAAAACCCCACCTTACCACCTTGACCTTGAAGCCCTCAGTCCTTAGACTTCTTTGCACAAGCTCCACCTCGAAAATATCCTTACATATACCATTTAGAGATGATCTTAACCAAGTTCTATCTTCCAATGGAATATGCACCTCCAAAGTCTTCTTACCCCCCTTCACATCGCACCACTAATCCTCTGCTGGTTCTCCTTAATATCCCTTCCCACTACCGCCTCCTTGTAAGATCTTCCATCGTGAAAATTACTAAGCAACTCCCTCTTCCTAGTCTCAACAAGGCTTATTGGTCTCTTCCCACTCGACTCCTTTTCTCTTTCCACTCCTGACCCCGCTCCAGGAACTTGCTCACGGCCTCTCTGACCGCCGCTCTTCTGATATTTTGCAATCGACACCGATATTCTCCTACCGTCTACCACAGCGTTATTCATCCTATCCATTGCATTGAACAGTCCCTCCTCACTTGCAAAATGCACAAAGGCGAATGTGCAGTCCTTGTACTTTGGCCTACTATTAACAAACGGAATGAATACTTTAATCACCTTACCGAAATAACTAAAACGCTCCCATAAAACACTTCTATGAACTCTCCTGCTAAGATTATCAATGAAAGCTACCCATACTCCTTCGCCAGGCAGTGCTCCGCCTCTGTCTGAAGAGCCAATACCATGCGCCACGCTCACTCTCTCACTAACTTTCTCACTCATCTTTTGGTTCTCTAGCATCCTCTCTTTTTCCTATGTTCACTTACATTCCCTCTATTTCCTTTTTCTAGCTTCTCAATTCATATCTACCCTTGTATCCTACATCACATATTAATTTTGTGACGAAATGAAAAAAATAGCCAAGCATAACCTTTGACAAATATATATAAAAAAAAACTTTAAGAAAAAGAAAGTTTCAAGCAATGAAACAAAAAATGAATCAAGGGTTATATCTGTAAGAAAAGTAGGTGCACTGTCCAGAGAGAGAACCTCTGCAATATGCTTGGAGTGCAATTGCAGCAAACCTAGCTGAAATAAACTTTCTACGGGCAATAAATGTCTGCAAACGGTGCTGAATATGTTTCGCAGATGTATCCAAAACCTCAGCTCGTCGTGAATCTAAAACACCTATCTGACCAGCCCTAAGAAACACTTTTGTCTTGCCCAACTGCACAAAATATTTGAAAACAGAGAATCGGAAAAATTAGGCCATTTATTGAAAAATTGCAAAAGCAGCAACAGAAAATTAGAAATAATTTAATTATACAACGTTAATCATGATTACCTGAAAATTTTGAAGGTTTAACTTCTGCAGAATTTTCTCTGTCAATGCCTTTTCATCGTAACTGCAAATATAATTTTAAAAGTTAAACAAGAAACAGAAAAAGACGTATCAGAGAACAGCAAAATGCAGAAGAAATGGATTTCATTAGAAGAGATTCTGGAAAACACAGCCATGGGGAAGCAAGGATGCCCTTTACTATACAGAAACAAAGAATAACAAGTTGTGAGCAAATTCCTGAGAAAACTACATGTGCAAGGTACAGCACAGACAGATTTTAACAGAAATGAAAAAAAAAAAGATTACTACATGGAACATGGAGACATACCAATTATAATTTAACCATCCTAACAAGAGAGCCTATAAGAAAATATGTAGTTTGACATGTGCATATGGTAATCTGCATGGCATGCAGGTGTGTTTATAAAACATTTACTACCTTGTATCCATGAATTCTGAAGCTAACAAGCCAAAGCGATCCACAAATTCAGAATAAGTTCGTCGAGTTGGATAGCCAGCTAGACTTATTCGAACAGCCTCCAGAACACCCTAATTTCAAATCAAATAAAATTATCTTAGCAAATCACATCTATAGAATCAAGAATCAAGAATCAATCATGTGGCACTTGCACCAGGGACCTCTGCCATCAATTAAGTAGCGCACTAAGTATTTGAATTTTGACCTGATTGATGTTATCGGACAATTTCAGGCTTGTCTATTCTATTTCTTTGTCAGAAAACAACATTTTCAAGCCTGATTGAAAATGTAGCCTTTGTTGTTATTAAGCTTTTAAAATACTTCCCTGCCATTTTCATGTAGAAATTAATGCAGACTCATAAATCAACTGAAATCAAAGAATTTCCTGAATGAAATGAAGCCAAGACACACAGATGTGATATCCATGTAAAGAAAGAAAAGAAAATTGCAGTCAAAGAGATTAGGAAAGTAAAGAGCAGATATTTATGTAAGAATGGAAGGCCTAGGTCAAATGTTACAACACACTAATCAACATCAGGAGCACAAAGCTTTAGAATGGCATTTCCATTGAGATTGATAGCACTATAATTCAAAAAAGGAAGCATACATAAAGAGACTACATACCCCACAACGCAGTTGATGAAGGACACTGAGGTTCTCAAATTTTTGAGGTCGGTTCAATGAGTTTGGCTTCACACAGCGTATATAATGAGGTTCTGTTGAGTTGAGGGTTTCCATGAGTGCTTGAAGTTGTTGCTATAAAGAAAACGAAAAAAGAATTAAAAGCATTGGCATTAACGAATTATAAACATTATGTCTGATGTGCTTACAGTGAACAGAAAACCCTCATCAGTAAACCACATGTAAATAAGTACACTAACAGAGAAATCTTTTAGCGATCAAGCCACTCAACCAAGAACATCAATAAAGAAAATAAATCATCAAAATCTTCAAAACCATCCCACTTCCTAAAAGTAAGGTCCAAGAAAGAATAATATCAGCACCGCAAAGAAGAAAAGATAGAAGTAGCCAAATTTCCTGTGATAAGTTTATTGTCTTAAATAATATCACAAATGACATGCCTGAACCTTCACAAGAGCTACCTAAAACAAGTGTTCAACTATGTTAGATGGACACGCGTATGAGTAGCCATACAAGTCTGTGTCCATGTGTCAGACTCGTCTTCTGGTAAACTATGGCTCTGACAGATTCGGCTAAAAAATAAGATAAAAAAATGGGATCATTGTAAGAACTTATATGAATATAACAATACTACATGGAAAAACCACAACTCTCAAAAAATATCATATACCGCCATTATCCTAAACAAAACGTATCATCATGAGTGAGAAAGGCAGAGAGAGAAATAGAGAGCTTGTGACAGGTCGTTCATCTTCCGATAAGGATTGGACTGTTTTCGTAGACAATCTTAGTAAGAGAGTTACTAGAAGAGAGTTAAGAGAGATCTTCGATATTTATGGTCGTGTTTTAAGGGTCTATATTCCAAGTTTTATGGTGAAACCAAACTATAAGTCATCAACGTTTGCCTTTGTGCAATATGCGATGGAGGAAGGTTGTAGAAGAGCGATTCAGAACGTCAATGGAACGCTGATAGATGGGAAGAGAGTCTCAGTGGGGGTTGCAAAGTATAAGAAGGAAAGAAGAAGAGCAACTGATGACAAAAAGTTCCAGGTGGAAGGAAATAAGCATGTGCGAGGGGAGGAAGGTAGGCAGCAGGAGGTAATGGGAAAGCCGAGCAGCCCGAGGGACGGCAGAACGTATAAGGAGGTGGTGAATGTGGAGGAAAGAGCGGAGAATGATAGAGCGGGAATTAAGGGAGGACAAAATTTGAAAGCAAATGGGATAAGGAATGTATGGGAAATGCACATTCCTTCTGAAGATTCAAGCTGGCTGAAGAATTCTTTAACAGGGGTTTTGAAATATCCCCTTCAGTCTGATATGGTGAAAAAGGCCCTAGCGAAGGAGGGTTATGAGGTCAAAATAGTAAGCTGGGGTTATGTTAAGAATGCTTGTATCGGTATATTCAGTTCTAATGAAGATTTCGTAAAGGCTTGGTCGAACATTAGAGAGAAATTGTTCCTCTGGTTTAAATGGTTATCTCCATTGTTAAACGAAGGAGGAGTTCCATTGGCGTACTGCTTGGTAAAGTTGGTGGGGCTACCATTTCTTAGTTGGTCTGCACCTTTTCTGGAGAAACTTGCAGGAATGTGGGGAGAGCTTGTGAATATCATGGAGGAGACAAAGAATAGAGACGATCTTTCATCAGCGAGATTACTGTTAAGGGTAGCAAGTCCTTTTGATATACCCGAATATACTTATGTAGGGTCATATGGAAGATCTTTTAAAGTCATAATCAATACAGGATCGAAGTGTAACAATTTCCAAGCTGGAATCGGAAATGAGCTGCAGAAGTATTTTGATTATGAGAGTAGTGATGATTTTTCGAAGGAGGATGAAGGAGTTAACTCAGAGAAGGAAGAAGACAAGTGGGAGAAGTCAATAGAGGAAGTAGGGTCAAAGGTGGACACGTGGTTACAGCAGGGTCAAGAAAGTGGGAGGTTAGAAGGTGGCGGGGAACAATCTCTGAAACATAAGTCCCACACGAAACCTATCATTAATGGGCTGTCAGACAATTTTGAATTTGAATTTGAGGCTAAGTCTTATAGAGATTATGTGGGGCTTGGGCTACGAAAGGAAGTGGATCAGTTACATTCAGCCCAATCTGATGGGGAATCATCTTCATCAGTCTCTAAACTAATTTCGGCTGGGCCTGCTGTTAAAATTAAGTGGGATGGACTGGATAAACAAAACAAGTTCCATTCTCTTTATGAATTAATGGAGGATGATAGTTGCAATATTCTAGAAGAGGATAATGAGGAAGGACAGGGTGAGGAAATTTTTGCTCGTGGTAAGATAGCAGAAGGAAGTTTCATGCAGGAGGATAATAATGTAGGATTTATGAAGAGCTCTAAAAGTTGGAGAATGGGTCATTCAAATTATGCTAGTATGTCAATTAGAAGTGCACCCAGTGGTAGGAGAGAAAGAGGTCGATACGCTAGAGTCTATAGAAGGTCAAGAAATAGACGAATTTGGTTAGATGCAAATAACGAAACAGAATTATTTTGCTCAGAGGTTAATCCGAACCAAGGACAGAAGGCAAATGAAAGCAGATATTTTCAACAGAGTTTTTCAGAATATAGGGGAAATGGACAGGAAGAGGATATCAATTGTTCAACAGATGTTCAGAAGACACCGAACGTCCCATTAATTGGCAGTAATCATTCAGAGAGTCTGGCAGCAGCTTCTTACACTGCTTCAGGGTCACGATTTAATAAAAGAAGGAAGAGAAGAGCTCTAATCAGTGAAGCTTTGGAAACGGTTAATATTTCTACTGCTGCTTCATCTCATTTTTCGAAGCTGGTAGAGGAAGCAATGGCCACATAGGAAGTGTGTCAGATGTTAGGTATTTCTTTCAAGGAAGGGAAGAAGGCTTTTATTGATAAAATTGTGAGTCTTGAAAATGGTTTGGAGGTAGGAAGGGAAGGGTGATATGCTAGTTTGCAGGGTATATTTTTGGTGTTTGGTTTTGAAGTCAGTATATGCAGAAATTTAGTATCCTTACTTGGAACATTAGAGGTTTAGGGAGGAGGGAAAAATCTTTAGTAGTGGCAAGGCAAGTTAAGAAGTTAAAACCTGTTATGATTTTTATTCAAGAATCTAAACTTGATCAGTGTCATGCGTCGATCATAAGGAGGATTGGAGGAAACTTGCTGAAGGGAGTGGTGGTTTCTCCTGCAAATGGGTCTAAGGGTGGATTGATTAGTATGTGGAATGAAAATGTTTTCAATGTCACTAACCAGCATGTTCATAGTAGGTTTATCGCATTAGTGGGGATTTTTTTTGAATGGCCAAAGGAGTTTGTCTTCATTAATATATATGGACCTGTTATTGAAGCTGAAAAGGAGGAATTCTTTGGGGAGCTGCTGAGTTATGTTAATTTGACGAATTTGCCCGTTTGTATTGGGGGTGATTTCAATGTGTATCTTGTTCCGGAAGAAAAGCAAAGGAGATCACAAAATTGGCATGCTATTGAAACTCTTAGATCATTTATACAACAAGCTAACCTTATGGATCTGCCTATGTCAGGAGGTACTTTCACCTGGTGCAGTAACAGAGAGTTGTCAACATGGGTTAGACTAGATCGATTTCTAATTTGTGGCAGATTTTTGAACAGCTTTCCTAGGATTTCACAATGCCTTTTACCAAAATCAATTTCAGATCATAATTCGGTCTTGTTGGAGGATGTTAGTCACAATTGGGGCCCCAAACCCTTTAGTAAGAAGAAGATCAGAAGTTGGCCTGGCAGCAGTTATTTAGGGCTAGCAGACTCTATTTCGCTGCTTGAAGTGAAAATAAACGAATTGGATTTAAAGTCACAAGGTGGAATGCTGTCTAAGGGGGAATGGGATCAGTTGATTGAATTCAAAAATGAGCTGTGGAGATTGTTAAGGATCGAGGAAAGCATTTGGTGGCAGAATTCAAGAAATAGATGGATCAAAAACGGAGACAAAAATACGAGGTTTTTTCACCTTACTGCTATGAAAAGAAATAGTGTCAATACCATTCATTCTCTGAAAATTGATGGGGTGGTAATTTTGGATCCAGTTAAGATAAAAAACAGTGTTTGAGTTTTTCAGGACTGCATACAACACAAAAGCAGCTTCTGAGGGTCTAGATTCTTATTTTATGAAAATATCAGCAGTTCAAAGGGCTTATCTGGAGGAGGAATTTACAGAGCAAGAAGTATGGAATGCAATTTCTTCTTCAAATAGTGCTAAAGCTCCCGGTCCGGATGGTTTTACCATGGGTTTTTATAAGAAATACTGGAATCATTTGAAGGAGCAGATTATGGAGTTTTTTTTCAGATTTCTTTGAAGAAAAGGAGTGGGTACACGGGGTTAACCACGCTTTTATTACCTTGATTCCAAAGAAAGGTAATCCGGAGAGTATAGAAGACTATAGACCCATTAGTCTTGTGAGCAGCCTATATAAAATTCTATCAAAAGTGCTTTCAAAGAGACTTATTTCTTGTGTCAAAGATATTATCAGTCCTAATCAGTTTGCATTTATTCCAGGGAGACAATTGTTGGAATGTGCTTGTGTGGCCAATGAAGGAATTGACAGTTGGAGGAAACAAGGGCTTAAAGGGGTTGTCTTTAAAGTAGACTTCAGCAGAGCGTATGACATAGTGGAATGGCAGATTGTTATAAGATTATTGAAAGAGATGGGTTTTGGTGATAGGTGGTGTTCTTGGACAACACAATGTATTTCCACAGCTTCTATATCGGTCCTAGTCAATGGGTCCCCTACAGAAGAATTTCTTATTGATAAAGGATTAAGGCAAGGATGTAGCCTCTCTCCTATTCTGTTCAATGTTGTTGGGGAACTGCTTCATAAGATGCTTACAAAAGCAGTGGATTTGGGTTTGTTTCAAGGGTTTTCGTTCGGCAATGATCAAAATTCCTTTAATTTATCACACCTGTAGTTTGCGGACAATTTAATTATATTTTGTCGAGCCTCTATTACCCAGATCAAGAATGTTAGAAGAGTTTTGAGGATTTTTAGCCTAATGACGGGGCTCCATCTCAATTTAGCCAAAAGTAAACTTTATGGTATTAATATGGAGAATGACTTACTTGAAGAATGGGCGAGGGATATTGACTGTTCTATTGACTCTTTCCCGACAGTATATTTAGGCCTCCCTTTAGGTGCAGAAAAGAATTCAGAGAAGTTGTGGGAGCCGGTCATAGAGAATTTTAGTAGAAAATTGGCGGGGTGGAAAGCTTCATCTTTATCCATGGCTGGCAGATTGGTGCTTATAAAGTCGGTACTTTCATCTTTACCCATTTTTTATCTATCTATTTTCAAGATGTCATCTACTATTTCTCAACAGTTAAATTCTTTGATGTCGAATTTTCTTTGGGGTGGAGGGGGCGAGAAGAAGAAAATGCATTGGGTTAGTTGGAAAAAGATTTGTAAGCCGTTGAGTGGTGGAGGTTTAGGAGTTGTTGATTTGAATCTTACCAATCGAGCGTTGTTGGGGAAGTGGGTATGGAAGTTTGCAAATGAGAAAGACTCGATATGGAAGAAATTCTTTTGTAATAAACATAATGTGAGTTGTCATTCCTTGAATATCACTAAGGCCCTATCTCAGAAAGACTCGTGGATTTGGAGGGGAATTGTCAATAACTTCTCAAAGAATGACTTCATTGGAGGGTGCCTTAGATCTCATGCAAAAATACAAATAGGGAATGGAAAATCTGTCTCTTTTTGGAAGGATACTTGGCTTGGGATTGTCCATTAAAAATTCTTTTTCCTAGGAATTTTGCACTTTCTACTAACAAAGGTGGCAATGTGGCTGATTTTGGTAGTTTTGACTTGAATGGATGGGAGTGGAATATTAAAAAGAGGAGGAATCTATGTGATTGGGAAGTGTTGCAGTTGGTTGAGTTATTGAACAGCCTTAAAGACATTAAACTGATTGAATCTTTGGAGGATTGCCTGCTGTGGGATGGCTTGGGGGACGGGTTGTTTTCTGTCAAAGAGTGCAGGAAATCTCTAGAGACTGTTTATGAGGATACATTTCAATGGAGAAACTGTGTTTGGCTGGGATTAGTCCCTCCTAGAGTGGAGACTTTCCTTTGGCAGCTATCTCATCAAAAAGTTGCTGTTAGAATGGAATTAATGAAAAGGGGGTTACTATAGGGGAGAACACTAACTGCCCTTTGTGCAACCTATGTGATGAATCAGTCCAGCATCTTTTTTTGTTCTGTCAAGTTTCGTGGGAGCTGTGGAATAAATTAATTTGTTATTGGGGTATAAGTCTAGCTTTTCCATTTGACTCACCTTCCTTACTTAGTTCTTGGTCTGATTTGAGGCCTTCTTCGGTTATTTGGAAGTTTATTCCGGGTGTAGTGCTATGGTCAACTTGGAGAATCAGGAATGAAATTATCTTTGATAATGGTAAACTAGACAAGCTTTCACTGTTTTTCACTGTTCGCTTAAGGCTAGCAAGATGGTTTCTAGCAAAATATCCTCTTTCCTATATTAAGGTGGATTCTTTAATTGGTGATCCTTCCTTGGCAGATAGTATCTCTGCTTCTAAGGAACTGAATCGGGTTACACTTATCTCTTTTTCAGAAAATGTTGGTCCTTCTCATCCCTATTTAGCATAATTGAAAGCTGTAAAAAGAGGCATTGATATCTTTGTTTCTTTAGAATGGTTGTTCAAGGGCATACACATTATTGAATGTGATTGCAAGCTTGTCGTGGATTGGATCAAAGATCAAGCTTTGGTTCCTCTTTCCTGTCAAATTTTGTTAAGGAAATTGTATCTATTGTTTCTTTTAGAAATTTTATTGTTAGGTGGATTCCAAGGTCTTGTAATTGTGAGGCTGACAAGCTAGCAAAAGAGGGGATCGGGTGATTATTTTGTCTGTTTCAGTTGGTGTCAGTTTCTGAGCTTAGAAGCTAGAGGAGTGTGTGAGGTCTTATGTTGTATGTAAAAGTGTTTTTAAGTCTTATGTAACTTGGCTTTCATTAATAAATTGAGGTACTTTTTTCCTGACTGGGAATTGGATCAGTGGATGTCATTAATGCTTTTGATTGATAATATTCGCCTGACTGAATCAGTAGATGATTTTCTTGGGTGGTCGGGGAATGGTGATGGTTTGTTCTCAGTTAAATCATGCAGAATGGCTCTTTCAAGCAGAAATGGAGATACTTTTCAGTGGAAGGAGTGGGTTTGGTCTGGTTTGGTACCTCCTAGAGTGGAAACTTTCCTATGGCAGATTTCTCATAGGAAAGTGGCTGTTAGAGTGGAACTTAAGAAGAGAGGAGTTAATCTGGAAAATGTCCAGTGTCCATTATGTCATAACTTTGAGGAGTCAGTACAACATCTTTTTGTATCTTGTTCGGTTGCAATAGAGCTGTGGAATAGATTCATTAATTTTTGGGATATTACTACAGTTTTGCCCCAAGATCCGGTTTCACTACTTTGTTCTTGGTCCTATATTTGGGAGTACTCTACCATCTGGAAGTTTATTCCTGGAGTAGTTTTATGGTCACTATGGAAAGCGAGGAATTCGGTGGTATTTGAAAACTGGAATTTTGATAGCTCATCTCTGTTCTTTATAATCAGATTTAGGCTGGCTAAATGGTTCTTAGCTAAATTTCCTCTTGTTAACATTCAGGCTGATTTATTAATAGGGGATCCATCGCTTGCAGACAAAATCCATACTAAGATATCTAAGAAGAAGAAGGTTATTTGTTGGTCTCCGCCCCCTTATGATTTCTTTAAATTCAATGTTGATAGGCAGTGAGAGGGGATGGGCTGCAGGGAGGAATTGAAGGAGTTTTGAAAGATTCCAACTGCTCTATTTTAGCCTCTTTCTCTATGGCTGTGGGACCTGGCCCTCCTATGTTAGCTGAGTTAAAAGCTATTAAGCAGGAAATTGATGTATTTCTTTCATCGGAGTGGGCAACGAAGGGAAGACTTATCCTAGAGAGTGATTGCAGGAAAGCAGTGGATTGGATCTTAATACCTATTTCTGCCCCAACGTTTTTTAGCTCTTTGGTTGAGGAAATTGGGGCTTATGTATGTGCTAGGGGTTTTATTATTAATTGGATTCCAAGGAGTTGTAATTGGGAAGCAGACAAGTTAGCAAAAGAGGGGATTGGTTGAGGTGTTGTGTTCTGTTGTTGTAGTGTTATGTATTTTATCTAGGGAAGTTTATTATTTAAGTTGTATCTTATGTAATTATGGGTTATTAATAAAATGAGGTACTCTTTTCCTCCTTCCGCTAGTTGCCTCTTTCACAAGAGCCAACTAAGAGGGAGGTTTTTAATGAGGCCTCCTATTCCTATAAAAAAAATGTACTCTTTTCCTCCTTCCGCTAGTTGGGCCTTACCTTACGGGTAACGTCCACTAAGAGGGAGATTTTTAATGAGACCTCCTATTCCTATCAAAAAAATATATAACAATACTACTACAGAATTGGGGTTTTCAGATTTTCTGTACAAGAAAGAGACCTTAGTCTGAATAAAAATCAAAATGCCGGACAAATTCTACACTCGAATCCATGCCATCGCATCATGTATAGGATGTAAAAAAATTCTGAGTCCATGCACTAGTGAATGTCAAAGAACTAAAAGGAACAGTTTTTCAATCATAGATTGCACTCGGAGTTAACTTCTCAAGTGAAAAGCATATTAATATCAACAAGAAATAATAAAAATTATCTGAATATATCATATGGCATAACTAGTAAAAACTTCTTTAAATTTCTAACTCCTAAGGAAAGCCATCAAAAACCAAAAAAAGTTATGTACCTTAAATCTTGTGGCGACTGAAGAAAATTTGTACGATGATCTTGAAGATTCATGCGGAGGTGAAGGGAAAAGACTCGCCACAAATTGGCATTTAGAAGAAGCCAAGAGATTACAATGTTCTACTACAACATAATCCCGGTTTTTGTCTATAAAGGAATCTGTTTGATAAGTAACCTAAAAGGAAAGGAAGTACATCATCACTATATCTGCCTTATCCGAACATAGTTACATTATCCAAGACACAATATTCTATCACTTGCCTTGCCAGCATAATGGGAAACAGTAAAATCTGTTTCTGAAAACTTAGCCTTCTCCAATCTCGGGTGACCTCGGAAATTCTGAAACAATTTGGTCGAAAATGTTTCATGTGTGGATTTTGGGAACATGCTGCACAAATAAGAAAATCAGGATAAGGATTAACAGCAATGATTAAATAGTATAGAGCAACACACACCAATTTATAATGAAGGATTTAAACAGTACCAAGCTTCATCCAAGAGAGAAATTATCCCAATGGGTTTCTGCATATGCAATCACAATAGTATAAGGCCTAATGGGAACAAAGAACATTTAAATGGAAAGAAAGAAATAGAAGAAACAAGTCAAATGATATAAATACTTAAAAAGTGTACAAATTGGAGTTACATATTTGCTCAAGGGCAATTTTACCCGGTGAAAAACAATAACTGTACCTATATGTATATTGCTAATCAGTAATCACTAAATATCATAAAGCTGTGAATTTCAAGTGCACATCCTGTAAGTTAAATTCATCCTTGCCCCTAAAAGAAACACTACTTATAATAACAGCACCGGTAAATGACACAATGCTCTTAAGAAATCCAACTGTATTAAGGGATATTGCAAGTGAAATCCAAATAAACCATGATGATAACGGAAGAATCTTAGATAAGACTATCATGATCATATTATAAGCAAGATAAAAATAGCAAATGTAACACTCTACTGCCGACAGAGATAACAAACAGAAAAGACAAATATTTCTTTTCAGAAGACCATGAATAAAAACCTTCTCAATCAGATCCAGAACATCTTGGTTGTCTATAAATTCGATGTAGCTCCAATTAATTTCTTCTTTCCTATATTCATCCTGCTCCATCTTGAATACATGCTGAAATAAATGAAGAAAAGAATATAAGAAAAAACCAGTAAACTGGACTGCATAGCACAAACAAAATGAATGTAGACTTTATTGCACGGAAGATTTATTACTAACCTCATTGAAATGCTGCTGAAGCTTTTCATTCGCAAAATTAATGCAAAATTGCTCAAAACTAGGGCACAGAAGATGACAATCAATCAAAGAAAAGAAACACGAATACAACTCTATGTAAGTATTGAGAAATGTAAAGCACTAAAGATTAGAGAGTACATATGCATACATCACATAAGATACACTAAAGCAGTAGATTTAAACAATAATAACAATAAAAACATTAAATGAACATACAAAACCAAAGAATTGAATTTTACCTATTATGCTTAAAGCATTCAAATCCATAGATGTCCAAAACTCCAATTTGTACACGGGAATCCGGATCTTGCCCCACAGACAAATTAATCTTATCAACAAGCCTTCGGAAATAAAAAGAAAAATTTAGAACAAAAAAGGTTTACTTATCATAAAAGTTCAGCACAGAAAAGTTTAAATTATCATACAAAATATACGTTATAAAATAAATGCCTATAAACATGCATAAACATAAGCATACCAATCAAACAATCGAGAATAAACTGTTTTTGCCAATGCATCCCGACTAGCCACAGCAGCATTACAATCAAGAGCTTTAACAATACTACCTTCACGGGTTTGAATGGTACGAGTACACAATGTCGCCAACAAGAGGTTCACATCACACCTGGAAAATGAACAATTTGATAACGTGATTAACAAGAGAATGAAAATCTAAAAAATGAACAATGGAAATTGAATAGATCAACGCGTGGCTGGCTTGAATTAGTCGGCAACCTACAATTTCGTTGCTGATCTGCAAGTTACAGACTATTTAATAAACTCAAAACCTCCATGCCAAATATTAGGTGTTTAAAATATATACTTTTATTGCTGAAATTTGAACTAATTATACAACAACCGTTTCCGTACACTACTGATAATTAATTACAACTTTGATTTTCATCCTTTTTTGTCCCAAACAGTATTGAAAATATTTTATTAAGAGGTGTCCCATTAAGTAACCAAACTCAAAAGAATGATTATCAATAATTTATTAATTAGCACATCAATCACAGAACAAATCAACATAAACTATTGATTACCAAGTAAACAATGCAATTCCCAAACCAAACCTCAAGTTCCATATGGTAATTTTGCCTTTAGATTGTGAAAACACCCAAGAAGGTTACATAATTGATACTCTACTCAAGAATATATGATTAAAACAAGACAAGAACAAAATCTATCTTCTAGTATCACCCACCTAAAAAGATCAGCAGCCGTCTGCAAATGGAAAGTAGATTTCTGATCTTTAATAACTGAAGAATCGTGCTCTCTTCCAGGGGAAAATTCAATGTTTCCCAGGTGCAAAATAGCAGCCAAAGTGCGAAATATAGCTTCCTGATTAAAAATGACAGTAGCATGCGGTCATTCAAGGAAAAATAAATTAAAGGCACAAGCAAAGTGTAATATTCTCAAACCTGGTCCTCATGACTGATTCCAACAATATCCATTGCCCTCCTTGTCTTCATATATTCCTCTGCATTGCTCACTCCTTCAAGTTCATATGTCTTACTTTGATTTAAATAATGAAAGTGGCTTGGATGGCCTAATTTGTACTTTTCTGCATCCTGAATAAAGTGATAGGGATGAAAATATCCCAGTTAAGGGATTAAGTTATCTAGGCCTTTATTTTATACCCTGAAACCAATGAAATAGCCTTCTGAATTCTAATAGTGCAATGTAATCACCTAAAGCCATATTTAAAAAAAAATAGTATTAGAGCAGTAGAAACAGCTATCAGCACTACACAGATTCCTTATATGCATATATTAAGTGTGTTAACTAACAAAAACATTTGTAGGACACATTCAACAACACAGAAGGGGGGAAAGGGGATGCACATTCATACAAAAAGATCTCATAGAATGTGTAGATGTACACAAATTAAACACGGTACTTGCAATAACTGAAAGTGCAGCAATCTACAACAATAAACAAAACATTCGCAAGCATATATAGGGTGTGTACACAAATTGTACACATGCATAAACACTGTGAGCCAGACAATGAAGGGAAGGGAAAGAGAAAAAGAGACATGTATGACCAAAAAACAAGATAAAGAGAGACATATTACTTTCCCAGATGCACACAACTGATAGAAGCAATGATAATTCCTCTCAGGATCTGTTATCTGAACAACACGGGACCGTTCAAGAAGGTAAGTTCTAACTGCAGCACCAGATATTCTACCATTTGCATCAAATTGGATCTCAACAAACTTGCCAAAACGACTGCCACAAACAAAATAAAGGATTAAGCAACAGTACAAGAAGATAAATAAATTATATCCTCAGGCACTTCCAATTTCTCAGCATACAACAGCACACTGGCATGTATTATGGAAAAAGCACAAGCTTAACATATTCTGAGTCACAATTATATGGCTTTATGTGACATAATTCAAGTAAAGTCATTTTATATTCCCCCATCTTGATGCAATTAAAACATATGTTGATACACAAACAAAAGAATAAACTACTTGGATTCCTCCATCTTACACGATTACAGATCACTCGATAATCATTACTCACCAACAACAACAACAACAACAACAACAAACTCTATTCCCATATGCAATGGGGTAAGGGGGAGGTAGGGTAGTAGGCTGCCCCCAACGCCAGGTTTTTTTATAGGAATGGCAGGCCTCGTTAAAACCCCCTTCATGATTAATGGAACATAAATTGCTCCTTAATCAGCGGAAGGAGGGAAAGAGTGCCTTAAAATTCATTAAAACGCATAAATTACATAATACTTAGGGAACAATCATATAGACTCCCTATACACACCAACCCATAGCTTAAAAATAACAGACCCAAACATAACCAAAAGACTTTAAAGCTAGCCAATACCAGCCTTAGCTAAGGCATCAGCCTCAACATTAGCTGACCTAGCAACCCATCTAATAATGCCTCCCAAACCTCTTAACTTAGTAACAATTTCGTTCACAAGGTCTACATATACATTGGGACATCTATCATAGTTCTTGATCCAGTCCACCACAATTTTACTATCAGTTTCAACAATCAAGCGATCCTCAAACTGTTGCTGGATTGAAGCAAAGAAAAACAAACCCTTCTCCGTGGAAGACCTCCAGCAGTCAGAAAATTAAAAATAAAGATGAAATGCAATGCAATGCATGTATAAATAAATAAATAGATAAATAAATAAATAAATAGTTGAACAGTCTTCATATGTAGTCTTCATATGCACGTCTGTAATGGGAATTACTCACCAAGAATAACATATAAAGACAGCAGTGAAGGCAGAATTGAAGATGAGAGAAACAACATGGATAAGTATGATCAGATCAGCAACAATTTGAAGGTAACTCTTACTTCAAACTTCATAGTAATAAAGTCTACTTGAAAAGGTCTATAACCCTACACACTGCTGGTCAATGAGTAGGTCAATACACTAGCCAGTAGCCACATGTATTTTGAGAAAAGGGTTCTAAAGCTCACCTCGAATTGTCATTTCTAACAGTCCTTGCATTTCCAAAAGCCTCCAACAGTGGATTTGACTGAATCATAAAGGAAATGAAATCAAGAGCATGTCGGTAACAAAAAGGGGCAGTGCATTCCCAGAGTATGTAAGAAAAAATGAACTAGGCTAAACCACATAATTAGTTTATATGATCCTTTATTAAGCTTCAATAAAAGTACAAAGCAAAACAAAAGTTTTTACCATTCTAAAAGTAATTTGCATCAACCTAGAGCAAAAAATGTAGTGATTGCTTAACTTTCATAAACAGTGGGCTACCTGCCATGCCAGTCCACCCAACCCCCACTACCCCGGAGGAAAAAAGAAACACACAAACACAGACCGTATTTAGCATTAAGAGAAAACCTAATAAGAGAAAAAAAAAAGAGTATATATGTAGCCATTGCGTTCAAGGGGTAATAAAGTTAGTCAACTCATGTAATCTTACTTCAAGAACTTGCTGCTCGACACTTTGGTCATCACCGGCTGTACGGCCTCCAACAAAAGTAAGATATTGCATAATTAGCTTTGTTGTCTCAGTTTTACCGGCCCCACTTTCTCCACTGACTAGTATAGACTGGCTTCGGCCCTCATTCATCATTGCCCTATGTAATAAAACAGAGGATTTAATAGATAACGATTAAAATCATGCCATCACCAGGGCATTATGGATCAAGCGTCCAGAAAAAGATGACATACCTATATGATACATCAGCCACAGCAAAAACATGGGGACTTAGCTCCCCAAATGGAGCACCCTTGTACTGCTCCATCATATGCACATTGTAAAGATGAGGAAGCTTTGTGAATGGATTAACTGCTATCAAAATGCTTCCTGTATATGTCTATAAAAGAGAAGCTTTGTAACTGGTTCTGGTAGTTGAAAAAGTACCAACTAAGAATACTAAGAAAATCAGAAAAAGTTATTTCTTTTTAAACTAAAATATGTAAACCGCAATTAGCTAAATATCACTAATAACAGCATTAAAAAATCAGAGTCAATCACTAATGAACAGATAATGAAACTCAGTAACCAAATTTGTCAGATACAAATTTAGTCAACGATGTCTCTTCAAATGAATTAATCTTTGCGAGAAAGAGAAAGAAACCATGCCTAGATAACAATTAGAGATCTCTTCGAGTAACAGGTTCATATGGTATGCCAATTAAACCAACATAATGCGAAAGAAACCTAACATAAGTAAATAATGCCAGCATTATACTCCTTATCGACAAAGTTAACAGGTGTTGTCATTTAGTCAAGACCATCTAGAACATAACATCTAAGCAGAAGAGGAAAGCAAAAAATCTAAAGTTGGTGCGATAACCACAAGAAGCTCTAAATTTGGGAATAAGTAAGAAATAAAAGAAAACGAAAGACTTGCATGCCTTCAAAGAATCTGAATGGGTTTCTTAATTAACGTGAGGGAATAACTAGTTCTCCTGAGGAAATAAAATTCAAGCATTTATAAGAAACATATTTAACCAAAATTGGAACACATGCTGCATAGTGGATCCTGTACTCCATAATTTCACTGACATGTAACAAATGAAATATATTGAGCTTATATTTTAATCATTAGCATTTTAAACAACTACAAAGTAATATGATAGAAAAACAATAATTAGGTTCAGAACTAAGCATAATTTTAAACATCACTCGAGGAATTAACAGATTTAAACTTACATAAATATCATTCAAAGCATATCTCCTCTGAAGATTATAGAGAACGCCAGGCTCATTCAAATAAGTCAATTTTGTCATATCATCAACACCGCCATGTTCTTCCTCTTCATCTGCATCTCTAGGAAACAATTTCTCTGGCAACGCCAACACCTGAACAACGAAATGAAATCAAAAGTTCAACATTAAGCAAACAAAAAAGTTCAAAATATCCAAAAATAAAAATAAATAAACGGAAGTGAATGAAACTTATACCGTTTTACCAGAGGCGGCTTGGACTTGGACCTGTTTGCCTCTAAGATCAATAATTTCAGCGGCTACCCAGGCCAAGTTCTTGTCTTCAACCCACACCTTAGCACCCTCGCGCAAGTTCATGTCTCGTTCCTGAAAAAAAAATCAAAAATTCAATAAACCAAGTAAGAAAACTAATTAAAACGAAACCCTAATGAAACTCGCTTTTGTTTGTTTGTTTGTTACAGTGAAGAGAAATGAGGGTACGACGAGTGTGACTTTGGAAATTTCAAAGAAACCCTAAATGGACACAGAAAGACAAAACCGAGAGAGAGGGAGGGAGGGAGGGAGGGAGATTACGGGCATGTTATTAGCTGTGAATTTTTTCGACTTCCCGCCCTAACTGGTGCTGTAGACTCTGAACAATATTGAACGAGTATTTTTCTTTTTTTCTTTAATATTTCGTATCCGACACGTCACTCTTTACAGTACACCCTTTGCCTTGCTTGGTTTCCATTTTAGAGCGGGGCAGTTTGCTTTGACTGTTTGTTTGGTTGCTGGGAAAATTGAAAATTTCAAATCTTCAAAAAGAAAAATCCAATATTTTGAAACTTCGAATTTTAATAGTTTTTATATGTGGGGATGTCCGGTCCATATTCATAGCCCATAGCCACGAACTGTGGTTTCACTTAACTTTTCTCTTCCATTCTTTTTCCAACGCTTCATTCCCATTTACATTTCTTAAAAAAAAGGAAAATGAAGTCATTCATTCCTCATTCGAAATTCAAATTTCAAAATCCACCCATCTTTCAAGATTTGTTGATTCATTTTAAAGATTTTTACTGTAAAAGTCGATCAAAGGAAAGGGCCGTTGTGGTAAATTTTGTTGTTAGGTACGAACAACGCAACGAAGTCCACATATTTCCAGGGTTTAGTTTATGGTAAGCATCTATGATGCAACCCAGAAAGAATGTAGGCGGTTTAGCCATTACTGGCCTTATTAAAACGGAAGACAAAATGTCCACTTCACTTGACAAATACGGGCTTTACCCCACGGCAATTAATGGTCACGGCACGGATCTTCTTCTTCTTCTTCTTTTCCTGATCTTCATACAACTTAAAATTTAAAATTTAAAATTTAGATTTAATTTAAATTTGTTGGAAACTTATTTTAAATTTTAAAATATAGATAGATAGAGGTTTGATAATAATTGTTTTTAACTATAGAGATATTATAATGACAAGTTAATTTTCTGTATCAAATTTTATTTTATTCTAATCTATACTTTTTTTAAAAAATAAATTTAATTAATTGATTTTAAACTCGAATTAAAAATATAAATTTATGATATTATATCAAATTAAAATTTGACGAGTCCAAATATTTTGATCATTCTGATTAAAAACCATTCACTTGTAAACAAAGCTTTTACAAGCTCATACCACCGTTTAAGCTTGACCAAAAATTGGTTTTGTAATTATTGGTTTAGTTTCTATTTATTTGAAATTCAATTTTAATAATTTTTTATACAAATCAATTATGAATTTAAAGTTAAAATAATATTATTATATTTATATTTCAAAACAAAGAAAACAACGTAAAGAGCAAGTCGAAAACAAAAAGCACCTTGAAAGACTTGCTATAATGCTGCCATCAAATATAATGCATATCAGAAGAGTTGTCGCTTGTAACCGCATTGAGGCGGCGAATACAGCCGGTTGATTTTGTCTCGTGTCATTGTTCTATGTTTGGATTCTTCAATGCATATTAGAACTCGAGCTTATTATGGAATGTAATAGAATAGCATATTATATTTCTTTATTTATTTTTTATTTGATTGGTATTGAGATTTCCAGAGAAATGAAGTAATACAGAAAATGTATCTCTTGTTTGTTTATTTTTCAGTTAGATCTATATATATACATCTATTAGCTGAGCTGGCTTAACAGCCTTAACCAACTCTAACAACTTGCTAACAGCCCTTAACCATCTAACCAACTCACACCTCAACAACACACGCCTATTTTCACACACAATCACACTCATGCATTACTAATATTCCAATATTCTTCCTGCTCCTTCGACCCTCTCAACGGGGGAATACACACAGTTGATCTCTGAAGAGTTCAAATGCTCCCTTTGTCAGCGACTTGGTCAGCCCGTCTGCCACCTGATGGCACGCCGGAACATAGTTCACCTGAAGTTGTTTAGCTTCAACCTTCTCACGAACGAAATGCACGTCCATGTCAACATGTTTTGACTGAGCATGATACACTGGATTTGTACTCAATGCAACAGCGCTAGTATTATCACACCAAATGACAGGTGTGATTCGATTTTTCACCCCCAACTCACCTAACAACGAGCTTATCCAAGTAACCTCAGAAGCTGCCTCAGCAACGCTTCGATATTCAGCCTCCATCGTAGATCTGGAGACTGTCTTCTGCTTCCTCGAGCACCAAACTACAGGACACGCACCAAGATATACTACATGGCCAGAAACCGATCTTCGGTCATCAAGACTGCCTCCCCAATCTGCATCAGCAAACGCCACAACATCTAGTGCCTTGCTAGTACCTGTAAATGTGAGACCATAGTCCAATGTCCCAGCTAAATATCGGAGTATCCTCTTCACTGCAGCCATATGTAGCTCACGTGGAGCGTGCATGTACTGAGCAGTCTTGTTAACACTGAAGGCAACATCCGGTCGTGTATGACACACATACAAAAGAGCACCAACAATGCTCCGATACTCTCGAGCATTTGTTAATAATTCACCAGCGTCCTGTGTTAATTTTTGAGCACCAATCATCGGTGTAACAGTGGGTGTAGCACCTAGTAAATTTGTTCTCTCTAGCAACTCAACTATATACTTCCTCTGAGACAACACCAAGGATTCATTTTTCCTCGTAACTTCAATGCCCAAAAAATAGGATAGCTCTCCTAAATCTTTTAAAGAGAATTGCAGCTTCAACGTTCTCACCACTTCATCAATAACATGAGAGGAGCCACCAGTAAGGATTATGTCATCGACATAGACAAGAATATAAGTAGAGCAATCTCCATTATCCTTAACAAATAGTGAGACATCAGCTCGAGACTCACTGAATCCCATCCTGATCAAACTGGTTTTAAGTTTATCATGCCAGTTCCTTGGTGCCTGTCGAAGACCATATAATGCTTTGTTAAGTTTACACACGAGCAAACTTCCATCAGCAGCATATTCCTCAAACCCAGGAGGCTGCTGCATAAAGACATCCTCGGTTAGATCACCATTCAAGAAAGCATTATTCACATCGATTTGTCATAATGGCCAATTACTCGCAACAGCAATTGACAACATTGTATTCAATGTGGCAAACTTAACAACAGGACTATAGGTTTCTTTAAAATCGCAACCAGGTACTTGCGAGTATCCCTTTGCCACAAGCCTAGCTTTGTGTCTTTCCACAGTTCCATCAGGCCTTCTTTTTATTCGAAATAACCATTTGCATCCAATCACCTCACGATCTGTAGGCATCTTCACAATCGACCAAGTATTGTTCCTTTGCAGTGCATCAAACTCGGCCTGAACAGCTTCTGTCCAGCTAGAACTGTTGAAAGCCTCATAGACATTGTTCGGGACTTCACTCACAGCATTAGAGGTAAAAGCCTTTGGTTTGAATATGCCACATTTACTCCTTGTCATCATCGGATGACTATTGACTTGTGCATCACACAAATTTTCTGCACCTTCTTCAGTGACATTCAAGTCTTGAGTCTCACCATGTGTACTGACAACTTCAATCTGCTCAGTATTACTAGTATTTTGACCAGTGACTGAAAATTCACTCGACGGTTGTTGCTGTGCACTCAACACATTATCAGCAGTCTCCACCTGATGATCTGAACTTGCACCAGGCAAACTACTGGAATAATTATTTTCATTATCTACTAAATTGTGTTGAGATCCTGTGGTGTACCTTTCTTCTTGAAGTCTGCTAACATCAGTGACAATTTCGATTGAGCCAGATGGTCTGTTGATGGTTGATGTAGCAGCAGGTAACTGAGCACATTTCTTTGCAAATGGAAACTGACTCTCATCAAACACCACATGTCTTGTGATATAGATTCGACCATCATCAGCAAGACACTGAAAGCCCTTATGTCGAGTACTATAGCCTAAGAAGGTGCATGGTTTGGACCTAAAGTCCAATTTGTGCTTCAAGTATGGTCTCAAATGAGGAAAACAGAGGCAACCAAATACTCTTAGCTGTCCATAAGCTGGTTTCTGATGAAATAGCTTCTCGAACGGTGATACACCATGCAAGACCCTTGTAGGCAGTCTGTTAATTAAATGAACTGCAGTAACAACTGCATATGCCCAAAATTTGATAGGCATCGACGCTTGAGCTAGCAACACAAGGGCTAGTTCTATCACATGACGATGCTTGCGTTCCACCACTCCATTCTGCTCAGAAGTGTGTGGACATGTGAGCCTGTGTGCAACACCTGCTTTCAACAAGCAGCTCGACAGCCTTCGATATTCACCTCCCCAATCGCTCTGAACAGCCTTGATGGGCAAACCAAACTGCACCTTAACCATCTGCTGGAACATTTCAAATGCACTAATTGCTTGAGCTTTGTCTTTGAGCAGGTAAAGCCATGAGTGCCTAGTACATGCATCAACAAAGGTGACATAGTACTTGTAACCAGTCGAAGTAATATGTGAAGGTCCCCAGAGGTCTGTGAAAACTAACTGAAAAGGAGCATCATATACTGTTGTAGAAGCATGAAACGGCAATTTATGGCTCTTTCCCATTTGGCACGCAACACACGTTTTATTAACACTTGAAGGAAGAATTACATTTATTTCTTTACAAACTTTCACTAAGCTATCATGCGAAGGATGTCCCAAACGTTGATGCCACAAGTCATACACAGCTGTAGTCAGTTGAGTTGAGTAATTCTCTGCCTTGGAATTATCTTCAGGTGTTGAGTTAACTACAAAAGAGTATAAGCCACCATCTTCCTTTCCTCGAAGTAATATTGAACCGGTTTTCTCATCACGTACACAACACTCATGCGCATGAAATTCAAGGAAAACGTTGTTATCCCTAGCAAGCTTCGACACCGACAGCAGATTCTTGGTTATTCTTGGAACATGCAACAGATCGGTTAACAACAGTACACGCGACAATGTAAATAGAGAAGATCTACCAACAGCTTGTACATCTAAAGCATCACCATCACCAACTAGTAATTTACCTGGATTATGAAAGTCCACTGTCTGTGAGATATTTGTGCCATCAGAGGTGACATGATGTGTGGCACCCGAATCCACCACCCAGTGTTCACGAGCAACCTGTGACTTGAACTGATGAGCACCAGATTTTTGACTGGTATTGCAATCATATGAATTATCCTTGGCAGCATAGTAAGCATTTCCTGACTCCTCCTTTGAATAATTGTTGTTATTGGCTGTAACACCAGGGAAGTCTTCATCAAACCGATGCCAACACCGGTCGACTAAATGACCATTTTTTCCACATAATTGGCATT